CGTCATCAAGGCGCCGTGGGGCTCTCCCTGCGTTTGAACGCTTCTCGCGATTCAACACCATGGTTTTCTATCTCGAAATTTCGGCAGCAAGGTCACAAGAGAGTCAATTTTACTATCTGGGCAATTTTGGGCATTCTACTACGATAATTAGGTGGTAAATGGCCATCCTCTGCCCACACCGCAATTCTGCCCCGCGGCGCCAGCAGTTCGAGGGTAGCGCCAAGGAATTGCAACACTTTCGCAATGCACAGTAATGAAATTAGGTATATTAGACTCGGAATAAGCCTCGATCAATTATGCCAAGCACTCTCCAACAAAAGAATGAACAGAGCTTAACAATGTACAATGAAATAAATCATAAAGACTCGAGGATAAGCTTTAGATGAACCAATTCAACAACTCGAAGACAAAGGTATAGGTGAATCAACCAAGCATTCACCCAACAATAGCATATACAGAGCTTAACAGTGCACAGTGAAACAAATCACAAAGACTGGAGGAGAAACCTTGAGATCAATCAGCAGGTAACGAAATGTCAACAACTGGGCAGTATCGGCAAGGAATCTAAAGCAGTTTTGACAGCGATCCCGTGCTTTTGAGCCCGGGAAAACCTTGGTGAGACTGTTCACAGGTGTGACCAGGTCCCTGAGAGTGTGTAGAGAGAAAGTTGATCTCTCAAAAAAGGCGCAATAACACATGGTAGCGGCTAGTTATATACGGCTCAATGCCGTCACCATTGCATGTCCAGATAGCAAAGATCTCCGTTATGCGCAATTCGATATTGATGCTCTCCGTTTGGCAGGCCGTCTTTGCGTACGCACCATGCAGGAAAGTATCTCAGATCTGCCGTCTGGCCCATTCATTGAGATTGGTGTATTTAGGAATGGATGAATCCTGCGACAAACTGCATCATGAAAATCGCCCATCCGATGATGATGAGAAAGACAAACATCGTATATAAAGACCAGGGTTTGATCTCCTGTCCACGCTCAATCTGTGGCCACCCTCGTCTGTTTTGCTCAAAGTCTGTCTTCAACAGACTAGCGATTGACTCCAAGCAGTCACCCCTCTGTGTGCCCTAACATTATGCAGACAGCTCGTCCGTGCAAGCGGCCCTGCTCATCACAGATCTTTAGATGAGTTGTCTGCCCTAGAAATGGTCTAACGTTAGTGACTGGCATTGACGCGGTAGTCGACCTCCTTCTGTAACTTTCTGAAGGAAAACGGGACCTTGATTTGGATTTGGATACGCATTAGCTTGCAGACGCTATCACGTTGGTGCGTTGACTCTCATCGGTCTGTAACTTACCGGCAAGTCTTTTCGGCCGTTCCTTCTCTTTCATGGAACCGCCTGTTCGTGTCCAGCGAGAGCGATACGGCGTGAACGTGGCCAGCACTTGCATAACCAATATAATGGCCGTATCAACGGATTACTCCCCACCTGTTACGAGACAAAGTGAAGATACGATCACTACATATTGGGCTTTCCTCATTAGTATCGACAAGGCCGGCGAGGAAGACGACGGTAAGAATCCAATAAAGGATAGAGCAGACATCCTGAGGCATCTGCTCCCAAAATAGAAGGAGTCAGTGGGCGATTTGCTGGGTAAAGTGATGCTAAAAATCAATTCCGCCTAGATGCGGCCACATCATGTTTGAACATCATTGTGAATTTGTGGAAAGGCATAGGTCCCGGAGCTAGGTGTTCGGTACAGATACGAGTTTATGCAGTGGAAGACTGCTTGACTAGCTCTGCTTTGGAGTTGGAACGGTATCAGAGGCACCAAGGGCGGCGTGTCAGCAGCCACGTCCCCAGCAATCATTGCTTTGGGGGTGATGTGGAGGCGCTGCAGAGCACTGCCTTGAAGAACAAGGCAGCTTTCACCTCAACATGGGTGGCGGTAAAACGGGTAAGCAAATTCTGGTCCGCCCCCCAAAATGGCGCATTCAAGAAGTATATGATCTCTCCTTCACGCGGCGTTTGGTGCCATAACCCATCTACCTTGCTGCAGCATGTGACCACGGCTCACAGTGATAGCTTGTCTAAGTGAGTAGTTTGACATAAGGGCCCTCAAGAACAAGAAAAGGTAGGAAAGTATATAAAATTGTCTGTCCAGCTCGCCTCTATTTTCTCGTCATCGAGCTTCTTCTTCTGCCGCAGTGGCAGCTTTGGCTCTGTCGTTTTTCCATCACCACCATTCCACTGTTCCTATCTTCGTGCCATGGTACTAATCTTGCCACAGAGGAGGCCTACCATCGCTCTTCGACCACCACGTGCCCACCTGGTGCAGGTGTAGGTTTGGTGCGTGGGTATAGTTTCAATTAAGCGCAATTGGTCGGCTCTGCAATGTCTCTGTCGCTGCTCTTGCTGGTGCCTTATTAGTGCTTGTGTGAGCTTACGTTGAACCGGATGGGGGGTTTGGTGTCGTGCAGGATGTAGCCAGTTGGCATGACTGGCGGTGGTCAACTGGCTAACACGAGATAATACTACTTTTAATAAGTACATATCCAAAGTGAAACCTAAGTTCAGTTTGCATATTGGTCAAGGATGGAGTATTACATAACCCTTGCGAATCAAATACATCAGAATGATGATTATATATCCTCCATGCTCGTGAGATTTCTCAGTATCCGACACAATCCTCACCTGGGAGAAACCTTCACTGTGTTTCAGTCGTCGTAACTATCTGCATCAAACAAGGTTTCCGGGTCGTCTACATCTTCTGCATCTTCATCGGTCAACTCCACCTCCACAAGTCGCTGGTCATCCAGGCTTTCTTTGTCCAACTTGCTCCGCATGCCCCAGAATACTTCCCAACAGTTGCCTTGCTCCAGCACGGCTTTATCAATATTTTTGGAGAGCCACTGTTTCTTCAGCTTTCGGTACTCCATGGCGAAAATGCTCTCACTCGCCGTTGTGAATAGTGTGGCATGATGCCCCTCACTTTTAATCTGACCTTCGCCCCTGATGGCTCCAGAGCCTCCTTTACCAGACAGTCCGGCTGTCATGGTTGCGGCCTCTCCCACCTGCGCCTTCTCGTAAGTGTACAGTCCGACAATCATGTACACGGGCAAGCCGCTCTTGATGTGGTATTCAGTGAGCCACTCCCTGACCTGGGGATCTTTGCACGCCTGTTTGAACTTATCTCCAGAGTTACGAATACGATAGCAGCGTGCCCTACCAACCGACTCTCGCTGAGTGGTCTTGGACGCAAAGTTGGCCTGTGCGCCGAGAAAGGCGGCCAACTGGGCCTGGGCATTTGCCTCCCTGACTTGGGACTGAATAGCTTCGAGGTTCAGCTCGTCGACGGGGAAGATATCTTTTTCGTCCAGCTTTTCGGGAAACGCTCTGCAATCATTCCATGGATTTTCGATGTCGAGTGTGAGATCGCATAGCTTGACCTGATCGTAGGCCAGTGGATGGCGCATTCGAATACCCTTGGTCTTCCCCATCGTGATCCTTGGAAACTGAGCTGCAACGGCTGCCCTGACCAGAGTCGACCTAGCCAGAGGTGGTGGGAGGCTAGGCTTTCGTGATTGATTCTAACAGGTCAAAGGCATGCTCGAACGAAGCAGTGTCTCAATCTCATGTCTCGACAAAATTATAGCCCGCTGCAGTGGAATAGAACTATATGCCAAGATGCACTTTCGAGACCTAATCTCCTCTGGAGGACTCAGCCTTCAACCTCTTCGTGCGCCAAGATCCGTTTCGCTTCTAATGCTGAGAGCTGGGAGAATTTGAATTTCTACAAGCTAGTCTGCGTGCCGATCGTCTATATTCGCGAATAGGTCGATGTCCATTCAGAGAACAATAGGTTATTCGGTCTACGAGGATGTCTCTCCCATTGAATCAAGAACAGAGTGCAAGAGCCCAGCATCTAGTGCAATCTCTGTCAAGGATGGTACAACAACAACTAGCACAAGCTAACCAACGTCCTGCGGGTTCAGCGACCTCGCCGCTGCAGAAAGGCTTTGTAGATCTCCTCTCATTGATGCCGACATGTCTTGCCTGGCTTATTGGGCAGGACCCCCTGCAGCGGTATACATCACCCATCATGACTTTGTTGGAGTCGACCATACAAATAGCAGGAGCTTCTGAACCGCCAGCTTTGTCGGAGTCTCAGCAAGATAAACGATCACAGCTCGTATTGACATCTACTGCATGGATCAAAAGTACAATCGGGTTACCCTCGCAAAACCTCCCGCCGGAAATTGAGCTATCTCATCTAGAACAACTCATTGTGATATTAGTTGGCCATATCGGTATTTGGGAGGATATGCGCCAGAGTGGAGAAGGAAAGGCCGAGGACTATGTCGTTAAGGTTGCGGAACATGTCCTGAATATAGCACAGTATATCGAACCTAGCAAGACTGTCCAGGAAATGATTTCAGAGACATTCATGATATACTGGCAAAACCTCGAGAGAAGAATGCAGAGAACCAAAGAACCTAAAGACTTGGACGTAACAGTGCAAGCGCTCCGTCGCAGCGGTCAGTTTGTGCAATCACCTAAAGCCACTGTAATGTGCAAGGTCACGCTGGCAAATCTACTATGGACAATGTGGAGATCAGCTGGCCAAAATGAAACGATATTTGAGGAGGCAATTGAAAGGAGCAGGGAAGTCGTTGGACGCATTTTTTGGAGTCAGGCAAGGACGGGGGAGATCCTTGAGCGCTACGCCACGATGCACAATCATCTTTTGGAAGCTTCGAGCATCTACGATACATGGTTTACGAACCAAGAGGTATTCTCGGATCTCGACGCAGCTGTCAAGGCAGCCACCTTAGCTTACAAAGGCCTCTTACCAGACGCACCTCGGAACGTACAAGAAACGACGATGAGGCAGTTTGGAGATGTTTCTCGGACTAGATACGACTGGGCTGGCAGCTTCATGGATCTTTGGCAGGCCCTTGCCGCTGTGAGAGTGTCGCTGGCGAGGTTCCCCTGCGGTCTAGATAGTGTAGACTTCAACTGGACCAGATGCGCCATGAGACTTGTGGATGTTTCATCATATTACGATCAGAAAGACTATTTAGACGAGGCTCGAGATCTTCTCAATCGCTCATTAAAATATTACGAAGGTGTCGTTGAAAACCCAACTCGATGGGTGCCTTGTCAAGAAGCAATCTGCCTTCGGTTCATGTCCATTCTATACAGAACGATCTGGCGAAGACGTTGTATGAATGGTGACACCCAGGATTGTCTTGACCTTTCGATTCGTTGTGCAGAGAAAGCAGTCACTGTGTTGTATGATAAAGACCCCCTGCTGAGTTCAGGCGTTGACAACCACACTCTGGCTTACTACACTCGATACTTATCTCCGTACCGGAAACCCTCAGACTTAGACACGGCCATCACATCTGCGACTCGAGCCGTCAACCTGGGAGCGCATAATTACTCGAACATCCACAGGGCCCCAAGGGCAGCTGAGCGCATGACTGTTGTGAGCATTGGCATTGCAGCTGAGATACTAGCCGCTCGTTACCTGCGTGATGGTCATCGTTCTGATCGGGATGCGGCCGTCCACGCCATTGAGATGCTGCTAAAACTTCTTCCACCAATGCACCCAAAGCGAGTTCATGCCTTGCAGACCTACCGGGATCTGCTCCAGCTAAAATTAATGTGTTCTCTGAAAGGAGAAGGCAGGGAACGGATGTGCAATCTGCTAAGGAGATGGTTTTTCAAGGTCTCTGGATCCTCGTCTTCAAGTTACAAGTATCTTGGAGAGTCTGATTTGAATATCCTTAGAGGTATTGTCAGTTTGGATAGGGGACGATCGGAACATCCACCTGCAGATGCTATTCGACGCCCTCAGATGCCGGCACTGGTGCTAGGCAGTGAGCCTCTTTATCACGATCTCTCCCCTATTGCGTACGCAAGAGGATCTTACTCGTCGGATCTCAGACTGGCGATCGACAAACCTGGCTTGTGTGTCCAAGGGTCTGCGAGACCGTTTCTGGACAGTGGAATATCTGAAATAGAGACCCTTGTCCGGGAGACAAAGCTGTGGGATGTTCAGGAAGAGACTGTGACAGAGTTAAAAAGCATTTTATCGGCGGATTTGAACACCGCCGAGATAGTGACGCGCATGTTGTCACTTGGTGAGCGGATGTTTCAGAATCAACAGTGGAAAGGGCTTCAGGCCATCTGGCGCCATTGCTTCGGAACCCTGGACGCTCTGGATTTGCACACAATGCGGTCGAAAGAATACCAGGCTGCGTTCAGACGCCTCTCCATGCTCGCCGTCATGGTCGCGTCTAGTATGCTTGCGCAGAATCAGGACATTTGGTCGGCCATCCTTGTCCTTGAGAGAGGCCGAGAGGTCCTCAACAGCCTTAGCTCTCTGCCAACCCGATCACAGCGTATCAAGTACGCCCCACACCTGGAAAGACAGGTGCAGGAGCTAGTCGCAGACCTAAAGAACCCTGGTCGGGAGAGGAACCACGAATACAGGCGCAGCGAATTTCGCCACCTCGAAGCTTTCGAGCGCAATTCTAGGGAAATGCTCAAGGCGGTACAGGATTTGATCACGTGTGAAAGACACATCGCGCCCTTTGGCAAAGAACATATCATCCAGCAAAGCCAAGCCGGACCGATCGTCATGTTAGTGGCAACCACTATTGGGGCTCATGCGGTTATCGTGACACCATTCAAGACCCGTGCAATCGCCTTGAATCAATGCAGCTACGAAGACGCGGTGAACAAGTCACGAGCAACGCGACTGGCGCTGAGCCAGTCCGTGCAAGATCAAAGCCGTATCGGAGATGCCAACCGAGAGCTTCGTCAGTGCCTGAAGTGGCTGTGGGATACGGTTGCACACCCCATTGTGAAGGCTCTTGGCCTCGTCCCCAACGAATCCATTGACAAGCTCCCTCGCATCCAATGGGTCTGTTGCGGAATTTTCTCTCACCTGCCCGTCCACGCCGCCGGGATCTTTACTCGACCCGGAAAGCCGCATCTTGCCCAATATGCCGTGTCTTCTTATCTCTCGTCTGTTCGGTACACCATCATGGCAAAGCGCAAGGACCCGTATCTCCGGCCGACCCAGTCCCAGATCCTGGTTGTTGCCATGCCCAACACAGAAGCCGACGCTGGTGCCCGATATGGGGATCTCGACACCCAAGCCGAGTCTCTAGCCATTCAAAATAATCTCCCCAGATCGTTCAGCACGACGTACCTCACGAATCCGGACATGGGCTCCGTTGAGTCGCTCATTGGTGGATGCCGTATCGCCCATTTCAGCTGCCACGGCGTTGTCGATCCGGCAGACCCGCTGAGATCGCGTCTCGTGATCCGCTTCGACGCCCAAAGACCCCTCACCGTGGCCGCGATCCGCGATCTCTCGTCATCGTTCTCACGACTTGCGTTCCTTTCTGCTTGCAATTCCGCTAGCTTTGAGGACCTGTCTACGGCGGACGAAGTGGTACATGTGACGAAGGCGTTCCAACTGGCAGGGTTCCCTTCAGTGGTTGGGACACTGTGGCAGGCGTTCGATGGAGATGCAGCCCTCGTGTCTGGGGAGTTTTATGCGTATATTGCAAGGCGGTTAGATAGCGGAGACGTCAAAGAGCTCGACGGAGACTTGTTTGCGAGGGCGCTGCATAGTGCTCTTGGGAGGTTAAGGGAGAAAAATCCGTACTCATGTGCTAGCTGGGCAAGCTGGATCCACTACGGGGACTGAGCGTTGTTGAGAGCCAAACGTACCGCTGCCGAACTCCCATCGATCTGAGGTTGTTGTTTTTGACTCCTTCCTCAGACCTTACCACGCATGCTGCCGAGCCTTGTATAGAGGATCCAGCATCTGAACCTTGTTCCCGTCCGCCCTCAAAATATATGCCCACCGAAATTCTGTTCCCTCCTTTTATACTCCACAATCATGACGGAGAAGATGCAGGATCCATAAGGCCTGAAAACGACTTTAGGGCAGTCTGTATCAAAGGAAACAGCGGCAAAGAGACATTCAATGAAAGAAATAGAGGCGTGACTAACCTTACCGAAGTTGGATATCTGATATCGTCCGGGGAGGCTGAATTCGAGGGCAGGTAAGGCTACATTGACGAGCCTGCCGTCCAATAAGTGACATGACCATTAACTTGCCCAACCAACGGGATGCTGATCCACGGGTGGGGTTTTTAAGTTCATTGATACCACAGCTTCGCAGCCTCATCCTCGAATATCTCTTGTTTCCCTTATTTCGTTGTCTCCGAACCCGCCTCAGAGCCGACAACAGAATGTGCAGTGCAAAAACTCTGGCGGAAACCTTGGTAGTTATGCGGAGTTGCTGGCGTCGCACTCCTTGAACTGTAAATCAGCTCTTGTAAGCTTTCTAAGTATTGAGATTAGATGTACTATATGATAAAGTAGAATTGTAATTCTCTTAATGTATATGAATAGTTGATATAAATCTTGATTAACACAGTTGATTCTTTACATGAAAAATTCTACTTTCTTCAGAAGAATCTCATATGTTGAAATCTAGATGTACTACGTAAAGGATCAGAGGGGGGCTAGTCTTATTTTACTACATTAGTCCTCTAATACAGATCTATATATGACCCTCAAGAGCTGTTTCTGTCTCTGAGAGCGCAGCGTCTGCAATTCTCGATACAACGTCAAGGCTTTCGAACTTTGGGTTTTTGGATTTCTAGCAGTTACACACACACACACACCCAATTGAGGCTTTGAGCTGATAGCGCTCCCCAGCGGAACAACCCCTTGCGACGGCGCATCACGAGCCTTGAACATTGTAATCGGAAATGCGTGTCTGGTCTTTAGCACGTGCCCCTCGCTGCCGACGGGTACAGGTAGAGTCGCGTATGGATGAGCTGAGTAGGTGTGGCAGCGTGCATACATCGACCAAATAGTTTGTGTTTAACGCCCTACATCCTAGGCGTTACCATTCCCCCTTGTTTTAGTGATCATATATAAACGAAACAAAGCACTGTTAAGCTCCGTAGTGCGTTACAACACACATCCCAATCCTACTTATGGGAACCGGATACTGCTACTGCCTATCCAGAGAAACACGAAGCATTTCAGCCTCACTTGCAGACTTCAGCCGCAAACTCCTCCAGAAGGGCGTTAACGACCGCTGGCCTCTCCAACTGGATCCAGTGTCCACAGTCTAGTGTCTTGACCCTGAGGTTGGGGCACCATTCCTTGGTCCTTGGGATTTGCATGTCTGCGCGTGCGACATAGTCAAGCTCAGAGATGATGAGCAAAGTCGGTAGCAGACAAAGCTTCTTTTCCGGTGGGACTTCAGCTTCGTCGGCGGAGTTGACTCCTCGCGTGGCTGCTTTGTACCAGTTCAAGGGGCCTCGGTAGCCGCCCTTGTCGAAAATCTTGCTGCGGACGGCCTGTTCATCCGTGGAGTACCACGATGGAGACGCTGTGGTTTGGCCACTGGTCACAAAGGCGGCCGCCTTTCCGACAGGGCCCAAATCTGTTTTGAATAGCTCTGGGTCGGTGGGGTAGAACAAAGAGAATACAGATGCGGGCTCGGCAAAAGTCAGCGGCTTCTTTCCCGTAGTTATGAGCTTGCGGGATTTCAAAGTCAAGACTTACATTCTCATCGCAGTCCTTGACCGCCTCCTCGGTGTTGTGCCACTTCCAATATCCATAGGCCGCATATCCAAACGCATTTTCTGTCATGTCGTTGAATGCATCTAGGACTGTCAACGTTATGTAATACAGTTGGAACATAAAGCGTACCAGCGTCCAACACAAATCCAGGTTCCAAGTAAGACACTGAGATGGGCACGATGCCCAAAAAGCGATCCGTATGATATGTTGGGAGGCGGGAAAGCAAACCCACGCCCCTTGAGGATCTTCATGAGTAGGTCCCTCACCTTGCACAGGGGGATCATGCCTACCAGTCATGACCCACAGCAATGCAGCTCTGCACTTTCTCGATATCAAGCAGCTCGATCATGTGCCCGGCCATTGTCTTCATGCGGTAACATCCGACATCGCCCGGCTTATCGGTATCGCCATAGCCTAGTAGATCCGGCGCAAGGACGCCGTAGCCAGACTTTGGGAGGGCCTCGATCTGGTGTCGCCAATCGTAGCTCGATGATGGGTAGCCATGCAACAAAAGAAACGTCGGCTTGGACGCAGAAGCAGGGGCGACCGTGACGTAACCGTACGTCGTGCCATCTGCTAGGGTCGCCTTCTTCGCCAGCGTAGGGAATGCGATCGAAGCCATCATGTATTCCTCGGAGTGGAAAGTAATGAAACGCGCGGATCTGGAATTTTGTCGAACTGTATGAGCGCTCATTGGTTGGAATTTCTACGCCAAGCCCCTGCGTTTCGCCTGCGTTGGATTGGTAAATTTATCTTGCAGTTTCGCTTCCAATTTCGCTGTACCGTACAGCTAATTTGTACGTCTATCCAGACCTCCTGCAGATTGTCACACACACCTCAACTGCTTCAACGACGGCGCAGTGATAAGGGGCAAAAACGCGCTTTCAGCCAGGACCATGTAAACGCTCGCTGCGGCGCGGGGATCTCGACTGGATGATTCGATAGCTGGCCGCTTCAACAACATCGTGTGACTTCACAGCTCTTTTCAGCTCTTTTCAGGGCAGTTTCTCCGCTACGGTCCATCGCGAATCAGACGTACTTGGCATGGAGTGTCAATGAAAGCTCGTGAGCTTCGCGGCGACGAAGGACCCAATAATATCGAGGGATGACGCTCTCGACAATTTCGGCGTGGCATTTTACGCCTTTTTTTTGGTCATTTTAAAGCTAATTTGGAGCGAGGTTGAGGATAATGAGCGTTGTTGAAAAGATACCCACTGTTTTTGGGAGGGAACTGTCAGAATCCCTGCGCATACGATACGTATCTGTTACGTATTAGTAGGATGATACAGCGGTCCCCGCATGCGAAACGCACGAAACGCTCTTGTAACTGTTACGCCCTGTTATTTATGGCAGTGAGCATTGCTATACGAATTGAACGCCAAATGCTGTTTCTGAGCTGTTGTAGTAATGCGCTTCTATAGCTATTAGTGTGAGCAAATGCTCGTCTTGATAGGAGTAAGTCAATCAATTCAAGGGGTATCTCCGTATGCTATTTGCAACAACTTCTAACAGGAACTTATTAAGCCAGTGACTTAATAGCGAAATGAGAAGAAGTGTTGTGTAAGTCTGACTGATTGTAGCTGGTGGCTTACCGCCATTTGACCAACTACTAGCGCTACACTATCTGAACTAACTAGTCTATTGCCGATAAGTTATCGGCGAGCATAGAGCTGTCATCTCCAGTGAGCCTGACAGAACTCTCTTCATTTTTGACACGTTAGCCAGACAAGGTCTAGAGATAGGGAGATCGGGAAGAAAGGAAAGATCTATCAAATTGAACCAGAGGCCGATTACTTCGCGCTTCGGTGAGCCCAACGATCATTTATACCGAATGCGGCCTACTGACATTTTCCTATTCAACCTTTCCGTCTCTTTTTCTCGCGTCCCGTGGAATCCTTCGGCTTCCGTTTCGCAGTTAAGCGCGGGCTATCTGTACCCGGAGATTCGGTTGACCGTGATCCAAGCGCGGGTTCCCCACACCTAGTCGTTTCCTCACGCGAAAAAGGACTTGCACGAGATATAGGAGTTAGAGCTATGTCGTGGAGCTCAGCTGTTGTCAAATCTCTCGGGCGGAGATTGCGGAAAGCCTCAACAGACCGCCGGAACCCGGTTTCTTTCATGCCTCCCCAGCGAATCCTCTCGATGCCGAGTTGATCGAGCCTTCCGCGGTTAAGACGCTCGCCTAATTTTTGGATGTTTTGCTTCAAGGGTTGAGAACCGAAGTCGAAATGTAGGGTCAGGACGCGACCATCATAAGCGCTGAATTGCGAGTCTTCGGCGCCAGTGCTCCCGGTAGCATCCTGCTCCGAAAGAGCGTAAAGCTCGATGCGGCCAACATCAGAATTGTCATCGCGATCAGTTAGCACTGGTTCTTGTTCTTCGGGAAAGTGCTGGTGATCTTTGATCTCTCGCCCCAGGTCCACTGTTGTGAATCGCTTCTTCTCCTTGAGCAGTTTTTTCAGCGCTTAGCATAACGCCGAAGTGAAGGACTTTTTCCCTGGAACATTGGTGAGCTCTCCAGCCCTTGTTGCAGCGAGATACTCGAATGCTCTATGCTCAAGATCAGCGATGAACGGATCAACGAATCTCGAATGGAAGAAGAGGAGGAAGAAGTAAAAGAGAGGGAAGTCGTCTTGCTTACCTGCTAGAGCCCCGCTTGAACATGAGGTCTCCGGCATGACAACTAGCATGATATTAGTCAACTCATTTATCACTGACTTGCAGCTCAATCCGTCGTACCAATCGAAGATTTGCAGGACGTCCGCACAGGCGTCCTTTAAGAAATTTTCAGTGTTGTTCCAAATCAGCTTATTGACCTCGTCATTTGACGGACGTGTTGTGGTTTTCCTAGAGTGAATCAGTAGCCGCTCATCCCCGTGGCTAAAATAATGCTTTGCAGACCCAAATAATTCAAGGCTCCCATGAGATTCTCCGGGACGTCCATGGCCGGCGTAATAAACGATCATCAGCTTTCCCCGCCCGTTATGCTTGTGAACGAATTCTGCAACAAGGAAATTGATGTGAGTGTTAGCATAGGGCCCTTTCAGTGGTCCGTGGTCGACAGAGTAATTGAAGAGTTTTTGGAATATGTCAACGAGTTCCTTGACTTCGTCATGTACATCGAGGTCGCCATCCTCCCAATAGAGAACGAGAACGGCAACGTGAGTATACAACGATTTCCTGCGGTAATTTCCTTTATCCATGACGCTGTTCCATGTTATCTGCAGCTCTGAAGCATCACGTTCTTCCTTCTTGGTATATTGGACGTGTTTTGCCGTCTGCGGAATTGAACAAGCTTTGTTGGAGCTTTCTGGGAACAATGGGGTCTGAGTGAGTTCTACCATTTTTTCAACCATCTGGGAAGAATTTGCGTGGTAAGCCATAAGCTCGATCGAAGAGACTAAGTAACAAGCAGATGTTTCAGTCCCTGAGGTAAGATCTCTGTTGTGACGAAGTAGGTAGTTGTGTAGCGGTAGACACTGAGCGGCAAAGAACAGGTAAACAGACAGATAGACCTCAAGACATAGCTTGCAGCCACGAATACAAAGACAAATTCAACCTGGCCCCCGAAGAAATTCTATTCCTGATTTATTATGTCGACATATCCTCAGGCAGCTAATAAGCCTCCATTGCTCTGTCGCAAGGCAGCCTTCTTGAACTAATCGTTGGGCTGCATAACGCTGTTGTTTTCACAACCGGGGACAAACGTCCCGCGAGGCAGATTCAAGACACTTTGGCCCATGTCTGCGTGACAATACCGCGGTCTTGGCCTCAGGCTCGACCTCTTCGCGACCCTGCAGAGAGCTAGATAAAGCACTTTTCGATGATCGGAAGGCTGATCAATTAGAATCAAAGGTGGTGTTGAAGCTTGCGGGGTGTGGAGGGGCTGGAGGCTCTTGCAGCCTTGTCCAGCCTCATGGCTGCCCACCAATCTGAGCGAGGAAGCTGCAGAGCCTAACAGGAAGATAAAGCGGCGCTTGAGGCCTCAGGCAACCTACTCAATTTATCTTCAGCTTCCAAGGACCGAACACTAGAGAGTGCCCGACACGAACCTAGTCACTGTCAAATAGCGCATGAACATCATTTTCTTGATGCCTGAGGGTGAAAATCCTGTTAGTACACGTAACAACCTTGCCCCACACTTATGGAAAGCTTTCGTATGCATTATATTGTATGGAGGGACTCATGCTAATAAGGAATCATAGAGTCAGGGTGAAGGTCAGCCTCGGCAGCCGGACAGTCGTGCTGACACGGCCCCCAAGCCAGTCCAGCGCGTACGTCGGGTGGAACCTGAAAAGGCGCATAAGTGCTAAAGGTGATGATACAGCGTGAACCCAAATTCGAGGAGCATGACAACGTGTTTTATAAAATCGGCGGCGTTTGGAATGGGCCCGTCAAAGTCGTAAGACACACTCTTGATACAAATCGGAATAGCTGGAGATATCAGCTGGAAACTCAAGATGGTCGCAAAATCGATGGATCACACTCGGAGACAAACATACGAATTAGTTCTTAGTGCCCGCGAATAGGAAATCGAATCTGGTTACTCAAACAAACATGATTGGATTGCAATACATTTGCCTCTTTGTGTCAGTGAGGCTCTGCCGCTCTGGCCAGTATTACATGACAATGTTTGACACAGTTATGTCAAATAAGCCTTCCGGATCGAGAATATCCGCATTTTACTTATATTAGAAGGCAGACCGCCTCCTTCCGCCAGCCGTGGTTTGAAACTTTTCACCATAGACTTTTCCCCCCTGGTTTTCTTCTGAGAAATGGATCTCGAGAAGGCCACTGATCAAGTTTCACACACTAACACAGTTGGAACTCAGTCCCACGAGCCTTCAGATTCTAGCTCCGGTAAGTGTGTGTCTGTCGATAATGCCACTCGGACAACAAAAGCTCATTGCAGATAGTCTGGCACGTTCTTGGATCTCTTCAACGGCTCGTCAAGTCCTTGTTCTGCTGGAGTCCGGCAGATGAAAGCGTCAGCTCAGACCTCCCAAGTAGCATGGGCCAAACAATTGTTCGGAAGCGTGAGTACTCCGCATTTACAAATGATACCTAGCAGAGCCTGCCTAACGTTTCAAGTCGAGGATTCACCGAAGGGGTTCCCCAGGCTGTCGTGCTACTTGGACAGTGACGAGTCGTTCATGGTCTATCGACGGTTCGGCTGTGTCTTTTCGCGCCTTCTTCTGAATAAACAGGATGAATTGGCGGGGCTAGAAAATGTGCTCCGAGAAATAGATCAAGATGACGCTTCTAATGGCCGCAGACGATGCTTGATGTCAAGAACCATTGATAATGCTAGGCCTGCCCACAATCGACCGGAGCCCCGTCAGAAACTGTTGCAAAGAATGGAGAAGAAAGCCCTTGAATATAGTAAGTTCCAAGCACCTCTGTCACTCGATTAGTTCTACACTGAACAGGCCCACACAGGTAACCTAGTATTCAGCGCAAACCGCCTCTTAGCTATGGGCAGGCCGGCGTCACGAGATTACAGAAGTGTTCGAAACTTCCTTGAAGGTGAAGGTGGCCAGTTGTTTGAAGAAGAGAGTCAATTCATCTACGAAAAGGACGACCTAATAACCTTGAGGCCTGGTCGTGAACACGCTTGGCTTGATAATACTATTGAAAGAATCTTACTCAAGTTGCGATGGCTTTGGCCGATAGAGGTGCGCAGTAAATGTCTGAAGTTTGGTACGAGCTAATCCAGTCTGCTAGTACATCTTTTGTTCTAAGGTTTGACAGTCTCAAATGCTAAGGCAGTCCCGAGAAATTCATCTAACATAGAACCAGGAGACCAAAGGAAAAACCGATGACCCGTATATTCATTATTTCACTCGACAGCGAGTATCCATCCTTGTAACGATGCTAATCACCCTGGTCATCCTTGTTCTGCTGGCTGTGCCTGTCTGGCTATTATATCGACTTGCCGTGGCGGGTACCATTGCTACCAGCCCTATCACCATCCTTTTGATAGTCGTCTTTACACTTCTGTTCTCGGCAGCAATTTCACTCTTCACAAGAGCGAGAAGGCATGAGATTTTGGCGGCATCAGCAGGGTAAGCTTTGATTCTATATCTAGGCTCGTCGATGCCTGGCTGGATCATGAACATCTCTTGCTAATTTTATTGCCAATAAGCTACTGCGCCCTTCTGATGGTGTTCCTCAGCAATCTTGACAACACTTTAATCCCAAAATGACATTCTATTCACGACTTTCCATTCAACCGAGAACCTTTCATTGCTTCAGATTGATTGGCATTCCCATATCAGTTTCATTCGATTCAGACGGCCATCCTTGTAGGCTTAGCCGTTTATACGAAGCATGGAAAAATATGGAAGCAAGTATGAGCGTATTCATGGAACTGCGCTTGACCAAAAACTGAGATTAGCTTCCCAATCCTGGAGGCGGATTACTGATTTTCACGAAATTGAGTATCAAGATAATGTCTCGGTATCAGACATCACCAGCTGAGGTAATTTCCAGGCCAATTTCTCTCGCCATTGCCAGCCTGCCTTGGATAGCTAAGACAGTTAGGGTCCCAGGCATCTAAGTTAGTCATTTCAAAGTTGACATAGTTCAATATCAAAGTCTCAAAGGGCGAACCAAGCCGCGTCTCGCACAGTCAAAAATACCAAATACAAAAGTCTGATGCTATCAAAAAAGGAACCATACGACCTAAGGTCGCCCACTGATTTGCCAAATCGACTTACGCTCACAGTAAAGCTTTCTGTAGAACCCTTCCGCCCAATATCAGCGAACTTAAGCCCTTTATTTCGTATTATGCCAATTGGTGCCTCTTTCACCACATGTCAGTGGGGCCACCCGGCTCTCACCTGTGCCCCACGGTCTGTTGTCCCCCAGTATGAGCGGGTCTTCCCTCGCCCTGTCAGCCACTAACACTCACCTTTCGCTCCCGGAGCGCACCCACCCAATACTAGAGCAGCGCGATTCCTGCCCCAATGCACATGCAGATTGACAGCGAAAGGACGATGGACTTCGTGATTATTCTCATATGATACGAGGAAAACTGGTAGGAGTTTCAAAGGGAGTAGGCCATGCCAAGATTTAGTTTTCTACTGTAAAAAGTGGTGTTTCAACTTTGATAGGGGTACGGCTTGACAGGATTCTACAGCCTTGGCAGCTGGAAGCACTGCCTATTTGCTAATTAACCTTAAGAAGGGCAGGAATAGGGAACTTTATCTAACGGGAAGGCTGATCATCCGGGCCGCAGATTTAAGCTTACCTACTGTACTAGTAATACGGTAAGAGGCATATTAAATGTAACCCCCGCCCTAGTAGCAGCTTGTAACGCCAAGATAGAACGCCACAAAATCGCTCGATTGGGACTAATCTACTATCTATCTTACATCGAGTGTGCATCCTATTAGCATTTATAACTACCTGGCATCTTGCTGCCATTGATTAGAGTAGTTATTTGTAGAATGAGATAGAATCAGAGGAAGCTTAACGCGTTGAACTCCGTGGATGGACCACCAGAGTGGTAGGTCATTCGTACAAGCGCGGTAAGGTACCTGTATGAAGGTCGTTAATAACAATTTTACTAGGGCGGAGGGTTACATTTAATATGCCTCCTACCGTAGTACTTCAGTTCAGTTTGCAGCTAATTACTTGAGCTTGGCGGTGTAGACACATTAGAGAGATGACTTTAGTTATTTGATCTTACCATAAGATGCGAGAACTGTCAAGGATTTCGGCACCTAGCTCCGGCCCTTCTCACACGGTTCTCTGTACCCTGCGTGCCCTGTGCCCTTTTCGGTCAGAACTTGACGCCGCCACTCAGTTGTCTGTCATCTTGCCCCATTCCTCTGTACGAGTGATCACCATAGCTGAACGGGTTCCAGCTTGCGACAAAGACTAGTGTTTGTGAAAGACTCATAGAATCCATCTGTGTGGTGCCTGCTCTATTGCTGAACCAAAGGACGCGGCGACCTCTATCCGGACCCAATACTTGTGGCCAACTCTGGTCAACTCCCTAAGCGAAAAGAGCTGAGGCTTTAGTCCTGTCTTTATGGTAACAGCTTTCCACCACAGACATCCACTAAACTTTCGCACAAGGAAGCGGCTGTGACTCGACTTCCTACATCTTCCATGAGCATGCTGGAGAGCAGCTTCATTCTTTCTGGCAGACGAGCTCGAGTTTCCCTTATTTGCCCTAGCCACTCTACCATTTTCCCAAGCGCCTCGGCCTTCGTTTGCACTTCCTGGATTTTCCAGAAGCCATTTGGCAACGGCATAAACCCCAGGACGAAGAGCATCGTGATGCCGAGCGCCCATAAGTCACTCGGTCTACCGCGTTCGTTATAGAGAAACTCTGGAGCAATATAGCACGGGCTTCCTCCGCAGTGAGATCTCTTGCCCGAAGTTGCAACACCGAAGTCGCAGAGGACGGCGCCAGGGACCAAACCATTCCTCAGTAGTCGACAGCCTCCGCCGCAATCACGACCTGCGCCTGCAGAACATCGAAAATGAACAACACTTCCTTTCTCACCTCCAAGCCGTAGTCGAGACGAGCCTCAAACAGCCGCACCATCTATCAGAATTTTCATTCCCAACAAAGATCGAGCTCGACCAGATCAAATCATCTCTCGCATCACTGACTAGCGCCGCAAATACGCAACTACGTGAGCAATCCAATGCCGCAGGAAAGAAAATATGTATCGACGCTCTCCTCCTCCTACCCGAAGACAAGCGCGTCACATTTTTGAGCTTCCTCAATAACGACACTGCCAATGATCGTTTGCGATTTATCAATGGTATCCTACCGGTTCTCGTTGCGGGCTTATCCGCTAAATCTGCTGAGGAATCAGAGGCAAAAGACGAGAAGCAAAATTTAGTCAACCGAACACCTTCACCACCACATCCAGCTTCAGGCCATTCACGCAAGCAAAGGCGACGTACGACAGGGCGAGAGGAGAGTTACCGTGTAATAAAGACGCCACGACGGAGCGGGCGTATCCAGAGACGTGCGGATGATAGACAAGATCAGATGCCTGGTGACTGGAGGAAGCGCAAGCGATCTTTGAAAGAAAGAGGCATTGGATAGGGAAGATTCTGAGGAAAGAAAAGGATGTTAATATCATACGAAGAATGCTATCACATCGGTGAGGCAAAGATTAGTTGGACAACAAAGCCTAATGCAACTACGAGTCTCCTGCAAGGCTGCAACCCAACGCCCCTCCCATGCATTTGTGCTCTCAAATTGGTGCTGGACTTTTGCTGCTCTAACAGAGGTTGGCAGGTGCCTCCCCAGCGGCAGCAGAACACAACCAGCGAATTGCTAAAGGTATTGGTAAGGTACTCGAGACTTGTGTGTCAACGATGTTTTGGAGTGGTCGCCCTTTGACCATCACCGGGTTGATTTGGACTTCGTCAACTCCCCCCTCTCATGCCACACAAATTACTTGACTATCGTTTCGAGATGTTAGAGCATTCTTGGTATTTGTGTTATACAACCAAATCGCTGTTGCTTCCTTTTGGGATAGGGTCTGTTGAGATAGCTCGGGTATGCAACTGTGTAAACCAGAGCTCTTCGACTCCGGCCATTGAATTGCACCCCTGTGTGCTTGGCCGGTGAGCTCGACTTCATTTGCATATTACTGCTGGTACCACCCGGCCAACTTGTAGTCAGGGCAGAGGATGGCCATTTGACACCCAATTGTTGTAGTAAAATATCTAGACTAGTTCAAATAATAGAACAGACTCTTTGGTGTTTTTAGTGTTGAAAATTCAAGACAGGGCATAATCATATTTACCACTTCCAGGGCTTCCCACCATCTGCCACGACAGCTTCCATAGCCTCTCATGACTCTCGCAACCTCTCCCGCGGCTGCTTGTGATTCTCGTGGCTAGATATGTACTCAATCGCCGTTGAAGGGACGACCCCCTGAACACCTCTTGGCACTCATTTATATTGCTGAGTAATCCATCAGTCAACCAATTGAGGCACAATCAGCTCAATCCCCTTCCTGGAGTGGATGTTTAAGGCCCGCCTTAGGAACTCTCTGATTTGTGCCCTAACCTTCACTAAGACTATCTCAAGCCTGTAGACCCCAATGCCGCAAACCTCCATCCAGACGCGCAGTACAGCCAACCAGTCCTGGTCCGACTACCTCGTCTCCACATATTCCTCCTCCATCTCACCCACCCACGATCCGGACCGATACGCCCCCAGCGCCACGCCTATCACATCGCCCACCTCGCCTAAGTCCATGTCCATGGACGCCTCATCTCCCTCCTCCAAAATCTCCCCTTGGGGGCCCTACACCAAATCCGGCCGCGGTGGCGCCGGCAACTTCACCTGGCAAGCCTCCTCCTCCTCCTCCTCCTCCCAATCCCCCCCCTCCAGCGCCACCTCTGCCAATAACCCCGATCTCGAATCCGGCATACCAACCCATCACCAAAGGATTCTACAGCCTTGGCAGCTGGAAGCACTGCCTATTTGCTAATTAACCTTAAGAAGGGCAGGAATAGGGAACTTTATCTAACGGGAAGGCTGATCATCCGGGCCGCAGATTTAAGCGGCGGTGACGAGGGAGGGGAGGGAGCGGGAGAGAGATAATCGGGAGAGAGCCTTTCGTCGCATGCTGTGATTTCGGTGCCTGTTCTTGCTTGGGAGTTTGGCAAGAAGGGGGGGGGCGCTATCACGTTTTCCTCGTCGTGATCTGTATCTACACAGACCTCCGCGAAGGTCTTTGTTCTTGGATAGGAGCACACCGGGGCGTTATGAGACGGGATGACACCATCTTCATATCCCCTTCTCGCGATCGACGCCGTAGCCGTACGAAGAATATACAGAACTCGCTCTCTTATATCTCCGACCAAAGGGGGCGCTGATCATCGGGGCTCCATCCCATCTAACCCGCCTTCAAAACCCTCCACCCCCCCATCATCCAAGAAGAGCATCTGATATCACCCCTCCCTCCCTCTCTCTTACATCTCAGACCTCAGACTAGTAGGCCGTAAGAGAGACGAAAGGATGCCCATCTCCTTCCTCACTTATCCTCTCTCCTCTGCCACCAGAGCATAGAGCATGGAGTCTAAAACACAGAAACCTCGTTGCCTGAGCATCTACCAGCACCGCATCCCGAGCGACAGAAGAGGTTACTACTACTGCTACTACTCACTACCACAGCCCTGCTCCTCTATCGTGACCTATTCCGTACAAACGTCGTTCCGTAGAAAATTGTTTTTCCTATCCCTCCTACACACATAGACGGGAAAGGGGTTACGTCGTAGACCAGAGTATATTCATACCCACCCCACCCCCATTTCGGAACTCGGAATCCGACATGGACGGCACGAGTAGAAGAAAAAAAGAATGTCAGATCACAAGAGCATACCATGGGCAAAAACCATCAGATGTGGCAGAGGCAAATCCTTGGGATTCTCTGGCTCAACTTAGCCACGAGCTACCTATCCTTGACGCGCCACTAGACTGGGCGGTCGGATTTTCGTTCGCTGCATCACCTGGATGTGGAACCTTTCCCCTTCCCTTTCCACGCCGTAAAAAGAACTCCTTGAACGCCATAAAGACACAAAAAACTGACTGATTGATTCCCTGGACCTGCTCTTCAAGGCGAGCGGTCTTGCCCTCATTTTCCTTCCCAAACCAAGCAAAACTGCTGGTATTTCCTCGTCATGTAAACTTCCTCCACCGCCCCAAACCCAAAAACCAAGCAAGACTGCTGGTGCTTCCTCCCTGTCATGTAGATTTCCTCCACCGCTCGCGAGATCGAGACGCTCAATTGACATGCATCGTCATCAGAAAAACCCCTTCGCCTCCCTCGCCTCCCTCGCCTCCCTCGCCTCCTCATTGAACTGCGCCGCCACAGGGCCGCACAGTTGCTCGATCGCGCTCTTCTCACTGTCATCGATCTCATCTGCCGTCACATACACCTCATCTTCATCATCATCTTCTTCAGCTTGCTGCATCTCTTTGTCTTCACCTTCTTCTTCTTCTTCTTCTTCTTCTTCCTCATCTACCTCATCGCCGACCTCCGGATCCGGTTTCAGTTTCAGATTACCACCGACGTGGAGCTCCCACTCATACCGCTCTCGGCGCTTGCGCTCCGCCTCTAAGCGCTCGCGTCTTTCGTATTCGCCGGAGCTGACGGAGCTGTCATCATCGTCACTGTCATCCTCGTCGTTGTCGTCGTCGTCGTAGTCATTCTCGTTGTCTCCATCTTCTCCATCTGAGTGGTGGTAGTTGTCCTTGGCGTCGTCGAATGGATTGGCTACGTCTTGCGCTTCCGACAACTCCTCATCTACCTCATCGCCGACCTCCGGATCCGGTTTCAGTTTCAGATTACCACCGACGTGGAGCTCCCACTCATACCGCTCTCGGCGCTTGCGCTCCGCCTCTAAGCGCTCGCGTCTTTCGTATTCGCCGGAGCTGACGGAGCTGTCATCATCGTCACTGTCATCCTCGTCGTTGTCGTCGTCGTCGTAGTCATTCTCGTTGTCTCCATCTTCTCCATCTGAGTGGTGGTAGTTGTCCTTGGCGTCGTCGAATGGATTGGCTACGTCTTGCGCTTCCGACAACTCCGACTCATCGTCCGATCTCTCGTCTAGCAATGCCCGATCTATCTCGTCGAGCTGGTATTTCCCTTTCTGGGTGCCTTGTTGCGCAGCCGGGTCCACGGCGGTCTGCTTCCCTTTCCCCTTGACATCTCCTTGGCCATTTCCATCGTTTTCGTCATCACCACCATGGTTTGCAAACGTGTTTGGATCACAAGGGTCGGGGGCTGGCTCGGTATCCTGCTCGTCCTCTTGGTGTGTATGTTTCCACCGAATACCACAGCCTTCGGTGAAGCATTCCCAGTACCAGCCATTTACTCCTTTTACCACACAGTCGTGAGTAGTATCAAATGCAGCTTCACAACCCTCACACTGCCACATGCCATCACATTCACATTCATCTAGCTCTTCTTCCGAGTGGAGGTGAATCGAGGCATCCCAGCATCCAGCTAGGTTACACCCAGGCCGGGTCATCGGTAGTCGACCTCCATTCAAGCTTTCTTGCGTCTGCTTTTTGTCAGCCTTGGCATCTTTCACCATTCTAGCAAGGTTAGCTAGGGCGGAATGGGTACTAACATATTGGTTTGACTGCTGGCTACTGCTGCCGGCTGGCCCGTTTTCTGAAGACGAAGGCTGACTCGATGGAGCCACTACTGGTGGTGGTAATGTCGGAGGAGTGGCTTGCGGTGGCGGCGGTGGTGGCGGAAGCATCCCCAAACCAGGTATAAGTTGCACAGGGGGTGGTACTAGAGGTGTCTGTGTTATGGATGTACCACTGTATGCACCACTTGCCGGTGGTAACGGCGAGACGGGTGCTGGCGGCAAGGATGGGATGGCTGCTGGAGGTGACGGCACCGCGAAATTGAACAAGCTCGACGGTGGGAGAGCTCGTGAAAAGCGCCCTTTGGGCACGGCTTTCTTACGTATGAGACCGCCATTAGCTGGCTGCACAGTCGGTGTAGGTGGTTGAGGAGGACGAGGTGTGAAGAAGGGGGAAGGGGGAGGAGGTGTAAAGACTGGTGGAGGAGGAGGAGGTGCGAAGACTGGCGGAGGAGGAGGAGGAGGTGTGAAGACTGGCGGCGGAGGAGGTGTGAAGATTGGCGGAGGAGGAGGAGCGAAGACTGGCAGAAGTGGAACTTCTGCATCTTGCATGTGCGAGTCTTCAGCAGGCACCGGTATCAAACCAGGTGTGCCGTGGAGGTTGGGTGCCTCCATGGCAAGGTCTGTAGAGGGTGCTTGCACGCCCTCCGCTGCCACATCGCCAGGGGATTCTTGCATCTCCTCATCGTGTATAGGACCCTCAAAAAGAGAGTCTAATGAATCGGCAGAGTGATGGGAGGGGGCAGGGGAGGGTGCCCTGGCGTCCATGGGGTCTTCGGCCTCGACCGAGCTCTGCACAATCGAACCATCTCTTGCGCCCTCAGCTGGAATCTCGTCCAAGACAGGGACCTCTTGGACCACGGATGGCTCAGCAACAGGCGCATTATAAAGAAGAGGTGGTTCGCGTATGGCGGCCTCTTCCACGGTAGGTGCTGTGGCGACAGGGGCATCGCCAACAACAGGAGGTTCAGTGGCGGCGGTCTCTTCGATGATAAATGGCTCAGCCACCGGCGCTTCATCGACAACAGGAGGTTCAGTGATGGGGTCCTCTTCGATGACAAGTTGTTCAAACACCGGCGCTTCATCGACGACAGGAGGCTCAGTGATGGGGTTCTCCTCGATGATTGGTGGTTCAGTGACCGGCGCTTCGTCGATAATAGGGGTCGCTTCTTCAACAATAGGAGTTGCTTCTTCAATAACAACAGGGATTGGTTCTTCAACAACAAGAGGAGTCGCTTCTTGAACAACAACAGGGATTGGTTCTTCAACAACAACAGGGATTGGTTCTTCAACAACAACAGGGATTGGTTCTTCAACAACAACAGGGATTGGTTCTTCAACAACAACAGGGATTGGTTCTTCAACAACAACAGGGATTGGTTCTTCAACAACAACAGGGATTGGTTCTTCAACAACAACAGGAGGGATTGGTTCTTCAACAACATTGGTTCTTCAACAACAGGAGTTGGTTCTTCAACAACAGGAGTTGCTTCTTGAACAATAACAGGAGTCGGTTCTTCAACAACAGGAGTTGGTAATTGAACAACAACAACAGGAGTCGGTTCTTCAACGACAGGAGTTACTTCTTCAACAACAACAACAGGAGTCGGTTCTTGAACAACAGGAGTCGGTTCGACTGCAGGAGGGTGCACAACGATTGCCGGTATGGCTGCAGGCTTTTTGATCTCGTCTGGCTTCTGTTGAGCAACTGGAGAATAGCCGTAAATGATGTCTGATTCTTGCCAATATTTCTTCCTGTTGTCAGCACGCATTTTCGTGGTTACAGTGGCAAAACGATTGAGTTTGGGGTATTCGAGTTCGAGCATAGTTTGGATGTTGTCTTCAGAAAGAGTGATGTGATCATCCACTTCCTTGGCCAATTTCGTGCATCGTTTGTTCACTTCCTCTATCTGCCGGACAAGGGCACCTTGCACCCACTGGAACTGTTCACCATGCGCCTTCTCCTGTCGGTTATACAGAGAAGCCCAGTCCCGAGCCTGCAAGTTCTGTCTTCTGTTCATTTGAGTTAGAGAATGTCGAATCTTCTTGACTTCACGTCGGCTTTGGCCAAGTAGATGTTCCAGGTTCTCTTGCTTAGCAGAAATCTGAGACGTCTCGTGCACTGGTGGAACTTGCTGAGGTTTAGTGCTTGTGGCAAGGAAGAGATTGTATGCGAGCTTGCAGGTATGGATGACTAGCCACCCTAGCAACGCAAAAAGGATAAGTGTGCCTGCTAAATAGCGCATGTTCTCGAACGAAGGTTCCGGAGGGTGGTAGTGGTTGCACAAGTACTTTTTCCATATGCAAATAGTTCACAGGCGCTTGGTGATCGGTGGAAGGAATGGCAGTGATGACTGGTCGGACCCTGGTTGGGCTGAGCGTCGTTGACGACATGCTGAGCGAGGTTGGAGTGTAGTACTGTGTCAGATTAGTATATGGCTGGGATTCTTGGATGGGGGAGTGGCCTACATAGATTGTGGATGTTGTGCTTCTGGCTTTGGCTCCATTCCCTATCATTCCCGGCATTTTGCTGATACTGGCCATCAACTTTTCCCAGTATGACATGCCATCGTCGAAGAAGTACCGGCCGGTGAGAATGTCTTCGATCTCTTCAAGCGTTCTTAGTAGTGTACCGAGCAGAAAATGAAACGGTGCTGCAGGGGAGAACATCTTGGTGAGGTCAAGACGAGACTTGATTAAGCAAAGCGAAACAGTTGTCTTGGAGGATAGCAAGCGTCGTTACACTCGTGCTGACAAGATGCGGATCCTTTGGAAAGGGTTGAGGAGGATACGATGTTGTTGAGGAATTCCGAGGTGAAGTGGCCTTGACAAGTCACGTTGGTCACTGCAGTCGTACTGTGAAGATAGAGTTTTGGTTGGAAAGGTTGATGGAGAGAAGATGATGTTGCAAAGGGCGGTAGCGCTTATAAAGTAGCTTCGCCGCTGTGCCTGTTGTCAGATCGGTGAACGTGTAGAACAATAAGTATTCAGTAAAGTAGAGGATTTATTGTGCAGAATATTGAAAGTGCGAAGGAGTAGATGTTATTGCCTGGAAGGGCTTGGCGCTGTCTGAGGAAACACTTGTGGCACGAGTATTCAGCATGTGTTTGTGGTGCTGAATAGCGTGGGTGAAAAAGGACAATAGCTTCGATTGTGTTCTGTATGATTACCTGGTGTCTTGTCCCACAATCAACAGCAAACAAAGCCGTTACTTCTCTATTGTCCTGGAAGGAGGCACAATGAAGAAGCATTGCGCTTTGCTTTTGCTCCGTGTAAGAGACTGAAGCGGAAAGTCCTTTGTTGGGTTAGTCAGTCTATCCGCCATACTCGACAAGTTCAGGAGGATTCCGCCGTGAAGCTTCTCTCGGGAGGGGTTTGAGCGCACATCGCAGCCAACCTTGGCGTGATATGCTGGTTGATCTCTGATCAAGATGCTTGGATCATCGACGCTGGAACTTGGCTGCAGGAATGATTGACCAAGCTTCAGCTGCGCCTGCGCAATTTCGCCAGGCAGACTTCACCAAGTCCATCCGGCCAGAATCTCCCAATCTTTGTCAAACGAGGTCTCGCAGCGCGCTCAAACGACGAAGCCAGTGAGCTATAGAACACCAGGCATCGAAAGCAGCTGTGTGCATGACCATGCTCGATGAATCCTTCTGCTCTGGCCTGGAAGGATCAAGGCCTTCCAAAGAGCACACCACAGTGCTCATGCCTGAGGAGAGGATGGCTCCTAAACTCATTCGATTGTCCCGCACCAAAAGCCAAAGCAAGCTTACAGACACCTCGCAGCAGGAAAAGGGTCAGTTCAAGCATGATCAAGCTGGATATTTGGGTGGCATCACGGGCAGCTGTCGGCAATACAGGCGATGAACACAACATCGAGAGTTATATTACCCGATACACCATGGGTTAGATTGCGGCGTTTGAGCTGATATACAGCCCATCCCGACAGATACCCCATGTACTCACATTGCCTTCGCATGTCGAACTCTTATGGTGGACCTACAACATTTCTCTGCTGCGCGGTCTGGTAGTGGTCTCTTCTTCCACGGAGCGAGAAGTTGACTCGCCCACATTTGCATTGGCCAAAACCGCGCAAGCAAAAACAGCTCCATCACAATGCTCAGCCTGCGGGGTATACGATCAGCATGTACCTGGTTGGTAGACTCGATTGGTATGGTGGTAGGTTGTGTGTGGAATGTAAAAGTTCAGACGGAAATACTAAGTTACTACTCCGTACTCGCCAATCAGCAAGCGCGCCAAGGCTCGGGCGACCCCTTTGCACGGCCCGGAGGTTTATCCTCCACCACGAAAGAAGTTCTTCCATTAAGTTACTAAACAAGAGCGGAGTACGAGATTCATCTAACCACTGCATATACCCTGGTGAAATTACTGCTGCACTCTTCCCTCCGTAGTGACCAGCTTATGCATTCCATACTCACGCCGCCTCCAAATTCTCGCGAATGCTGATCTATCCGGCTAAGTATTCGATTTGAAACCAATCGCAACTAGCTACTCTGCCCGAATCATACCAAGCCACTGTAACTACAGTTCGTCTACATGGAGTGTATCCCGACAAGGCTTTTATGGAAGAAGCCCTGTACGTTCCAACATCAAACCAGTCTTATCAGTGACCTAGAAAGGAACATAGTTATCGTTCGACATAACCTTTCCTAAGTAGTTTCATACGTTGAAAGAAGAAGCACGAACACCATCGTGGAGTGCATGCTTGGGAATCAAGTCGTCCCGAGCCTGCCAAAGGCATCTTGTTATTCTGCCAGCAGAGCATCCTTATCCTTCCTTGTGACCACTACCTGAGGAGAATCCTTTTACGGAAGCTTTTTATTACCAGACTCGTGTTTGGCGCCCGGAGTCTCCGCAAAGATATAGCAGGTAGCCAGTCTCCTTCTTGTAGAATATGTACGTATATTCGTTCTGGGAACCGGTGGAGTTTGAGGTTAAGAGCTATAGCAACCCGTGCGTCGAAAAGGGCATAACCATGATTTTCCGCAGGTTTACAGAGGCAGGACACGTGAATTCACAGCTATCTTGGCCTTGCACAAGAAAGATCCGCGATCTGAGCTTCCTGACCTAGCCACTTCGGCTTTCAGCTCCTCCACGCTTGAGATAAGACATTGTCAAGGGTCGTTTCTATATGTCGCGCTAATGCATAGTCTAAGTCTAGGACATGTCACAGTCATTCCCATTCTTCGACAATTAGGGTAACCTCCAACGAAACACATGTTGAGACTCCCGTTTTGCTGTCTATTCGCAGCAACCATCTGAGCATCTGATATAAGTCGAGCATTGAACAGTTTTGAAAGATATATCTGGTCCCAAGACTTACCGTTGCGTGTAAAGGAGAAACGATAAGATAGATTTCGAATCACGGCGTCTAAGTCTGGCACTTGATGTCGAGGGATCCACGAGGCCAAATCCATGGACACGAGACCCAGCTCTCCATCTCTTGGGTCCGGCAGATCCTTGATATGGTAAAATCTCAGCTCCTAGCTGCGAGCCTAACAGAGATGGTAGTTGGAGAACTCTTAACTTAGGACTGGGCTGGAGCGGCATGGAGCAACTGCGCATCGGAGCCTGGCAATGACGCAAACGAAGGACACCACCGTCAGCAAACTCCGTTACTGTGAGGTCCAGAGCTGCGTGAGGCCCTATAGGTGGTGGCGGCTGGGAACCATGTCGATTTTCTGTAGCGGTCGCATTCGTGTTGGGCTGGGTGCTTCTACGCTGGTCTGTTTCATTTAATTATGTCGACTGCTTGAATGGTGCCAGTTGGCTTGATGGCTGGAATTGCCTTGGTGTTGTCGAAGACGCTGGTGGTGGCGATTGATCAAGAGGGGTCGACGACACAATCTTCATCAAGGGCGTTGACTAGGGGGAAGTCGTTGGCTCGCTGCTGCTGGCCGAGCCTGTACAAGCGCTGCCAGTCAATATACCTTCCAAAATGATGCGGCTTGTCAGACCTGGGCTCTGGTACGTTTTGTCGCAACATCGACCCAGCTACGGAAGACAAGATAATTCTATGTCAACAATGTACGTATAGGATGATGTAGTTTCCCTTAACTGACTTAATCCACAATGTGTATTGGGGGAAGAAACAGGAGCACTGGAAGTGGGATGCGTAGTATTTTTAATGGAATAAAATGGAAGTATGCATTTAGATCGTCATGTATATTATTTAAGGCATGACGCCCCCCGCCTATATGATAAATGTCCACCCATTTTCATGCTAGCAAATCTTGCTTGAAGCTCCAGACTGTCAGGTAGGACAGCAAGGACTTCCTTTGATGCACAGGTAAATCAAAGCGAATCATAGCCTGTACACGAACTACTACCTCTCCGAAGAAGGAGCATGTTCCGTGTACGCCAGAGCCCTCCAACATGCTTATACCGGTTCGAATGGAAAGGGACTTGTAACGTGATAAGCCGCTCGGCTTACTGCAGCCTCTCAGCCAGCACCATTCCATACCAGACCGTTGCTAGGCCTCCCGCCATATTTAGAAGACTTGAGACTCCATGCATTCTCCCAAATCGTTGATTCAATATTTGCATCTCCTTGCTGTGTGGGCCAGCATCGTAGCTTCTCTTACCATCGCGTGTTTCTGCATGCTGGTCAGCCAAGCAGGAAACATACAGATACCAGACGGAAGATGAAGAAAGTTACCTTGGTGCTTCCTCTCCTTCATGATCCGAGTAGTCGCCGGCCCAACAGCCATAAGGTTGGCCAGACTCGTTACGAGCATCGTCAACAACGGCGTCAATACATGCAGCCGATTTTGCTGTTCAAGAACGCCGGATAAGCTTGACGGCCGGGAACCGATGGCGGTTCGTTCGCCGGGGTATGTCAATGCGAGGATAACAGGGAGAGCGGCTTGCATGGAGAAGTAGACCGGAAAGATGGCCTGCTGTAGCGAGGAGAATTGGGGCCGGGGTAGAGCACGATATGCTACAATGCCACCTATGAAAGACTGAAACACTTGCGATCCCAGAAGTGTACCATAGCTACAGACGAATGTTAGGGGGCGGTCAGTTTGCCGCGTCTGCGCAGTCTACTAACCTTATCAAGTGGTATGGAGCGGGAGATTTTAAAAGTGATAAGTCTGGCATTATAGTTACAGAGGTACAAGACTTCGGGAGCTTGAATTTTATTTCCCAGGGAGAGCTTATTGTCCGTGTAAAGAGAAGCTTGCTACCAACGGATGGTTGTTGATTTCCATGACGATATTAAGAAGCTGTGATCTTATCTAATCTATAGTCACACGTGATGACGCGTTAATCCGCGATTTTGCCCCACCGCTAAAAGATTACTACGGTTACGTGCTGCCTATTAGGGTGTAGGCACCCGTAACAACAATTGATATGGTGCAGCAAAAGGTAAATCGTCATGATACTCAAGACCTTCGCCGCGTCGCTTTGCGCTGGCTTTTGTTACTATAACGCTTAATGAGCTTTTGGATCGGTCCCTTCAGCCATGGCGGATAAGGAAGCAACTGTCTACATCGTGGATGTTGGGCGTTCAATGGGTAGAAAGCATCAGGGCCGAAAGGAGACAGATTTCGACTGGGCAATGCGATATGTGTGGGACAAAATCACTACAATGGTCCGAGATCATGGACTCAACGTGCGGAACATGGATGACCCTTCTCCAGGTGGCCACGGGACGAAAGACGTTGCTGATAGGAGTCCTGGGCCTTAAAACAGATGGTATGGAAGGGTGGAGCCCTTCTTTGTTCTGGGACTAATTATCCAGGTACGAAGAATGAGCTGGCGGAGGACGAGAGCTATGCACACATTACGCTGTTTCAACCTATATCTCAGTGTGCAGCCTACCAAAGGAACCGATTGGTGGACAGCTGATCTTTAGTTCAGGATTCTGATGCCGGATCTGAGAAGACTGCGTGAGGTCATCAAACCTAGCAAAACAGATCGAGGAGACGGTTGGGCTCCTCATCCTGCTGGCTACTGGGGCTGATGCTTCTTACAGCTGTTTCCGCCATTGTCTTGGCCATACATATGATCATCAAGCAATGCAAACAGCTCAAGTATAGAAGACGAATAGTTCTTGTGACTGATGGCAAAGGCTACATTGATTCCGACCCAGACAGTCTGAATGACATTATCAAAAAGATCAATGGCGATAACATGGAGCTAGTAGTGCTTGGTATTGATTTTGATGATCCTGAATACGGCTTCAAGGAAGAGGAGAAACCACCACAGAAAACCAAAAATGAGGCATTTCTCCGGGATCTGACCGAGAAGTGCCACGGCGTTTTTGGCACCATGGCTCAGGCTGTGGAAGAGCTTGACATCCCACGACTGAAGACGATAAAACCTGTCCATTCTTACCGAGGGACATTGACACTAGGAGATCCAAAGGAATACGACACCGCCCTCAGCATTGATGTGGAGCGCTTTCCACGTACCATGATCGCTAAGCCTCCTTCAGCTAGTGCCTTTGTTCTGAGGTCTGATAGTGGCGAGCCAACACAATCGACAGGAACAGTGGTGGCGGACGGCGAGGAGGATGAAGCCATCCAGAGGAACGGGAACACACTGACCAATGTTCGAAGTGCATATTCTTACACGGTGGCCGACGCCGATGCTCCTGGCGGAAAGAAGGATGTCGCCAGGGACGATTTGGCCAAGGGCTACGAATATGGACGCACGGTAGTCCCCATTAGTGAGAGCGATGAAAACATTACGAAGCTAGAATCTGAAGCTGCAATGGAGATTGTTGGATTTGTGCCAAAGGATAAAGTACACATACGAAGAACTCCGTATGGACTCTCAGCTAACAATTTCCAGTACGAACGATACATGGCCATGGGAACCTCAAACATAGTTATTGCCCAGAAGACCAATGACAAAGCGGTGATAGCCCTGTCGTCCTTGATTCATGCTCTCTTTGAGCTTGATGCTTACGCCGTAGCCAGAGTCGTCAAGAAAGACGGCTCTGATCCACTTCTTATCCTCCTCTCACCCTCGGTCGAGAAGGACTACGAATGCCTGATCGAGAATCAACTCCCTTTCAGCGAAGATGTCCGCTCATACCGCTTCCCACCAATCGATAAGATTGTCACAGTCTCTGGCAAGGTGGTTACACAGCATCGAAATCTTCCTACCAAGGATCTTTCACAGGCCATGAGCGACTTCGTGGACAAGATGGACATCTCTCACTTTGACAGAAACGACGAAGGTGAAGCAGGAGAATACATGGCACTGGAAGATGTATTTTCTCCCGTCTTGCACAGAATTGAGCAGGCAAAACGCTGGCGTGCTGTTCGACCCATGGAGCCTGTACCACCTGTTCCTGAGGTGTTACTGAAGTATTCTGAGCAGCCTGAAGAGCTGCAGCGAGAGGCCAAGCCCGCACTGCAAAGACTAATCAAGGCTGCAGATGTAAAGAAAGGTATTCTGCATTTTCTTCCGTTATGGAACTAGCTAACGTATCTGGCTACCTAGTTCCACCAAAGGTCAAAGGCAGAAAGCGCAACCGCGAAGCCGATAAGCCTCTGTCAGGCCTCAATGTCGATGACCTCTTCCGTCAACAGCCAAAACGCGCCAAAATCTCCTCCGAGAACTCAATACCGGAATTTAAGCAAACGCTCGCTCGAGCTGAAGACATTGAAGACATTAAGGACGCTGTCAAGCAGATGGCGGCAATCATTGAAAACCAGATCAAGGACAGCTTTGGGAACAGCAATTACGATCGCGTTCTAGAAGAATTGGGTGTGATGCGCTCCGAGTTGACAGAACTGGAGGAGCCCGTGCTCTATAATGATATATTGCGTGGACTCAAGATGAAAATTATGGCAGAAGAATTGGGTGGAGAGCGAAGGGAGATGTGGTGGTCCATTCGAAGGAATCGGCTGAGTTTAATCGACAAGAAAATGTCGGCTGTCTCTGATGTGACAGAGGAAGAAGTGAAGGAGTTCAATGCTGCGAAATGATGTCTCGAATCTTTGCCTGTGGTCGAGAGGGCGGACGCCAGATACGTGTTCGATGTATCTGACACCACCATGCTGTGAAGGTACTCAAGCCAGCATCCAACATAAATCTGTGGCACCGTACACAATGCTGGCCCTCCCGTCGGAGGAGTTGACATCAATTTGGGAGTCAATAAACATCGCCACGGTTTGCAGCTCCCTTGTAATTTGTGGACGCTGTCCCTAATCTTCCGTACGAGGATCGACAACTGGCGATGTAGCAACTGTGAAAGGGTACGATAAACAATCACGAGATTCTTCCGATCCGCTTCTTTGCAATCTCAATCTTTGCCTGCACCCGATCTGTATCCTCGTCCACCATTCTCAACATCTCATTTTGGACCTCAAGCTCGTTATTTATTGCGACTCCCAATTCTTTTTGTCTCTGCACAATCTTCCTCAGCTCTTCCACATTCAGATCTTGGGCTGCCATTTTCTGCTTCTGCAATTGCAATACACCCGTATTGTCCAGCTCTCTGGTCTCTGCCGTTTCTTTTCCGAGGACCCTTCCACTCGTCTTTGTTCTTGTGCCTATCAGCTTTTGCGTATCATGCAATGTTGCGACAGCATTGTCGAGTTTGCTTTTCGTTGCCATAGCATTCAACAGGTTTTCCAGGCCATCCTTCTCCTTCTTCGCGGTGGCTATCAAATCTTTTCTCCGTCTCACCTCCCCGTCACCTAGCTTTTGTGATTCCCAGCCACCAGAATCCTGCTGTATGTTCTTCAAGCCTTCCTCCAGCGCATGGATCATACCCGCAACCTTGACTAGACAGCTTTTTGCCGCTGCACTCGCTTCATGCTGCTTCTGTGGCGATGATGCCTGATCTCGACTTGTTAAATGCAACCTTGCATCATGTAGCTGGGCTTTGACGTCCCTATGGCAATCCAACCATACAGCTGCATCAGTGATTGGCGCCCCTGCACCGCCGGGACCAGAGAGAACTGAGTGTAAATCCCCGGCCTTTGTGCCCATCTGGCCGGATAATGAGCCGGGCAGATTCAAAAAGCTTCTCCATGCACTCGTATTTCGCCATCTCGCGTCGTCACTTCCGTTGATTGTTCGGAGGTAGTGCTCCAGGCCTCTTCGCCGCTCTTCTGTGAAGTCTGGATTGGAGACAGTGCGCGAGAACCATGACTTGGCAGGCAGTGTAGCTGGCGGAGCCGAGCCTACCTGGCTGGTGAGTGAGTCGTGGAGCGATGTAAAGTCGGAATAGCGTTTCTGGACGGTGAAGGAGCGCAAAGGAAGGCGGATGCTGATGTTGTAGATGGTATACGGTTTAGATGTATCTGACACAGTCGTATTGGGTATAGAGATTTCTGTTTGTGGCGCCATTATAGTAGAGCGGAATCGAGAAGAGAGATTGGACCTGACCGCTGCAGCTTAGAAAATGAACAGTGAGAGCCACATGTTTTGTTCTGTGATCTACGTTACAGTACGGAGTACGGAGTAAGTAACTTACAGGAAGAAATACAGAGTGGTGTGACGCAGTCCTGGCAGGACCCCAACAAGCTCTCTATTTCCTCCACCAAACGTATTCTTAGCGCCCTATACATCCCCTTGCTAAATGCGCTGCTCACAATGTATCAGTCAAGAGACGATGTTAGAGCCCCTCTGCCTTCCGAGTGTGCAGTCCTGTCGTTGTCTGAACAAAGGCCGAAGCCTATAACATGTCGTCCTCGAGGCCACCACTACCACCGAGGCCCTCATCCCCGTTGCCATCTACTGAGGGTAGAAGGTCTTCATCCTCGGTAAGATCTCAGGACTCACTTCCTTCTCATCCACCATGGCGACGAGAAACCAACCATCTGACGCCCAACCACCGACCACGCTCAACCTCTCCCTTGCGAAATCAATCACATCCATATGGCCTTCCTCCAGAATACGAGCAACAATGGAGCGGCCAGGATCCACGCTCCTCGTCTATGCAGTCGTTACGGCCAATCGAGTCAGCAGGAGCGAGCAGACGGACTCTTTTACTGGTTTACATACATGGCTTCATGGGAAATGAAAGCAGCTTCAAAAGTTTTCCGGCACATGTCCATAATGTACTTACGGTCACTCTTTCAGATTCACACGTGGTGCATTCAAAGATATATCCCCGATATAAGTCACGAAAACCCATCGAGCATGCTCGAGATGACTTCAGCAATTGGTTCGTGTGAGGTACTTTGTGGACAGAGAAACAGCTAATCCGTGGTAGGCTGACTCCTCATGAGTCTCCTGACACAGATGTTGTCCTTCTCGGCCACAGCTTGGGCGGAATACTCGCTGCTGAAGTTGCACTGTTACAACCATACTCACCAAAAGGTCCAGATGCACGCCTGCATCGGATTCTAGGCATCATAGCTTTCGATACCCCTTTTCTTGGCATGCACCCAGGAGTGATTGGCACAGGTATCGCCGACAGGATACCACAGAACGATACCACAGCTTCGTCTATATCAGGGACTGGCAGCCTGTTGAGCCCTGCCGGCTCGCTCGCATCAAGCATCCTTAGCCAGATACCGGACGATCCTAACTACAATCCCGCATTTCCTAACGACGTGCGGACCGTGCAACGCAATGGTCTCGAAAAGGCCCTATACTTCATCAACAAGCATTCAGATGGGCTAACCAAAGCAACGAAAGAATACGTGACATCGCACTTTGAGTTTGGCGGCTGCATGGCAGACTATCCTGGTTTGAAGAGAAGGTACAATGCAGTACGATCCTTGGAGGATGTCGATGAGCTGGCCCAGAGGAGAGATTCGCAGGGTCGGCTCCTACGCCGAGTACGGTTTGTCAATTACTACTCTGCAAGCACTGGGCGCCTGAAACCACCAAAAGTCCCCGTCGAGCCTCCAGCAACAGAGTTAAAGGATATGACCTTACACGTGGACGGTCAGTTAGTCGGGATGAAGAGTGGCACCGCCACGCCGTCTACCCCGCGACTGTCGGTTGAGGAGCATCGGGTGGATGGTGGTATAATCCAGAAAACTCTGGAAGACATGGATCCCAAGCCTATGTCGGATAATGAGGAAGGCGATCAACCTCCTCAAACTACGCTTGCCTCTGAAAGTAGGGGTTCTGACTCTGAAAGCCCCAAGCTACACCAGCTTATCGGCCAAGAACAGGCTGAGAGCCCTTCGCGTCATCCTGTAGCCGAACACCCCGGAGAGGACGATGGTCTTCCCTCCATTCCTCCCCTGCCGCAACGTCCACCAGCCTTCAATTCCTCCAAGTACACAGACCCAGATCATCTCAAGATTGCACAAAAAGACCATGCCCGACTGGTCAAAGCATACGAACGTGCTAAGAAGGACCGGGAGAAAAGCATCAACGACCGTGAGAAGCTCGTCAAGAAGCGGGATAAAGCTGCCAAAAAGGAGGCCGACAAGCTCGCCAAGGCAGTAGCAGCGAATCAGGCTGTTGAAGAGCGTCAAAACCTTAAGCGATCGGCAACGCTCAACCCAGAGGTCTACGAGAAACATCTGGCTCGGGACGCCGAAGAGCGTAGGACTGGCGCTAGTACTGAAGGTGATCTACACAAAGTAAGGAAGCAGCGAGACAGGAAGTTTTGTACGCTGCCACCAAAAGATCGCAGGACAGGAGTGAGGGATCCCACTTGGATACGGGTGTACATGGAAGGTGTGGATGAGGTGGTCGCGCACACAACCTTGTTCAACCCTGAAGGACAAACGTACGAGAGGCTGGTCGGTGACACTGCAGAGAGGATAGAAGGGTGGTTGAAGGAGGCGCAAAGTGTTCAAACGGCGCTGGGATGTTAGAGAGAGGGTCTATCTCGGAGCCGAACGATTTACGAACCAGGTCTCCCTTGGTATTTGAGCATCCTATGCAGCGTAAGGTCTTTGATGCGATGCTGAGCGCTGCGTTCGGATGGAACGTACAAGTGATTGGCAGCGAATGAGCTGGTAGCTACTTGTCCACGAAGTGGGACCGTTGAGCTCGAGCGGACATGGTGAGCGGAGCTTGCACGCAGAATGTGCAGCAGTGCTGCCCCATGCTCCCATTTGCCATCCTCAGCACTGTAAGAGCTCCTACTTTAGCTAGATGCAGATTCCATGGTAGAGAAGCATCTTAAGCAGCAGTATGTATGGAGTGGTTGAGGTGGTGTTACATCGGCACGGCGAATCCATCGATATTTCCACCCACCATATTGGATCGCTGCAGAGACGCCATCATATGCAGACTACCAACAGCATCTGATGGGCTTAGACTCCATTGGCTGCTGCATATCTCGATTGACCCCGCCAGCAAACCACAATCTGTGCATTCTGGACGCCACGTCCACCCTGCCCCTCTGCACTAACTCGATTGCTCCACCACAGTAGGTGTACATAGTAAGGATGCTCAAGCAATGCACTATCTCTGGATTAGTCGCATTTGTCTTATATGCGAAACCTTTACGAATCTGCCTTCCGGGCCACCACCACTAGAGACTACTAACAGTGATGATCTTCATTAAGGAGCCACAGGCATGAACGCCTTTGGCATCAGTGGTTGGTGGTGGCTGTTGGGGCCAGACCTCCCAGATCGCCTATGCCGTCATTCTCGTACTTCTTCGATTCTGTTGTATCGTCTTCCGTACGATGCTGTTCTACCAATGTTTTCGAACTGCAGCAGCTACCTGGGTTATCCAAGGTCTGAAATAAAACGTGCATGGTCTCTGCACCGAGAGTGTGTATCCTGGATTAACATTTACGAGAAACTTACACTGCAGCCGTTGACATCGGAAGTTTAGAAGCTTGGAAGCTACGCCCAGCAGGACGCTCTTGCTTATAGTGAACGATGGAGAACCTTCAAGCCAAAGGAGGCTTTCTCCCAGGGCTCTTCCCTTCTCGCAAGAAAACTGAATCGGCCTCAGTGAACTCGAAAGACATGGCTGGACCTAAACCTCTCCCCTTCTTCAAGCGACTTCCTGATAATGTCCGCAACCACTTCATTGCCATGGTGGGCGAGTTCATTGGGACGTTTCTCTTTTTGTAAGTGCTTTCAGAGCCCAAGGGAGGCCCATCTTCTGACTCAATGCTCATAGGTTCATTGCCTTCGCTGGTACCCAGGTGGCCAACACACCTCAAACCACAACCGGCTCCCAGAGCACAGACCTTCCTCAAGGCCCCGATCCTTCACAGCTTATGTACATCAGTCTCTGTTTTGGCTTTTCGCTAGCTGTCAATGCATGGGTCTTCTACAGAATATCGGGTGGCTTGTTCAACCCTGCTGTATGCCAGATCGACTAGCATCGAGGGGGCTTCACATGCTGATGTATGACAGGTTACACTTGCACTTTGCCTGATTGGTGCAGTGCCCTTTGCACGAGGTGGTTTTGTCTTCATTGCACAAATGTTAGGAGCTATGGCATCGGCTGGCGTTATTGCCGCGCTTTTTCCCGGTCCTCTAGCCGTAACTACGAGCTTGAGCGGAGGAACGAACCTCGCCCAAGGGGTGTTTATCGAGATGTTTCTGACTGCACAACTTGTTTTCACAATCATTATGCTCGCGGCGGAAAAGCACAAAAGCACATTCATCGCACCAATTGGTATCGGGCTGTCCCTTTTCATTGCTGAGTTAGCAGGTTCGTTTGTGGTCGCTCCTACGCCATTTCTGATTCAGTGGAAGCTGACCTGACACAGGAGTATACTATACTGGCGGATCTCTCAACCCTGCCAGAAGCTTTGGACCGTGCGTGGCAAACCGATCGTTTCCCAGCGAACATTGGGTCTACTGGGTAGGACCGATTCTGGGAGCCCTGCTTGCAGCAGGATTCTTCTGGTTCATCAAGTCCTGCGAGTACGAGACTGCAAATCCGGGTCAGGACTTTGACGACCTCGAAGCCAACGTTTATAAACCTGAGGAGGAACTCCGGCGTCCATCTATCAGTCATGGTGATCCCACCTTGAGGGTCCTCTCCCATGTGTCAGAGGATCGAGCAAGCGCGGCCTCGCCAATTCTGGGCGATAGGGCTGAATCTCCAAACTCTACCCGTGTCCAGACCACGCAAAATTGAACAATCCGGTATTCAACGAGATAGAAAAACTTTCGTGTGGGATGATTTCAGGCAGAGGCTTTATCACGTTCGTAACACTTGCCACCAATTGTCACTACATGTCTCACATCTTTAGCGTGGTGAGCGTACGTAATATGAATGGTAAAATTGTCACCGGTATGATCAGGAAGCAGTACATAGGTTTGCGAGACTTTGCGTCTCAGGCATGGCTGTCCTGCTAAGGGTTGAACGCAACAGTACCCGGTCAAAAGTTCTCGCTGATGTCGCGTTTTACGCGTAAAGTAATTTATTTTGAAGCCTATTTCTCAATCAAAACAGCGTGTAACTGCTTGAGACTCTACTTCTAGATAGAAATTAGCTTAATAAAACTTTTTTCCTATACATTATTTTATTATTGATTTCTCTGATGAAAAAAGAATATATGATTAAGTTGACCTATCTTAATAGAATTAAAATTTGTATAATAATTATACCTAATTTATTTGAAGTAGATTATCGCCTAGGAAAATTAGTTGACTTGAGTTGAAAAGTATGTCTTTGGCAGCCTTTACGTAGTAAGTGTAAAAGTGGGGTTGAGCGAAAACTTTTGACCTAGTACTGTAGCTTACTGGTACTCATTTGAGGCCCTTAGCAGAGACAGTCATCTACCAACCAATCGAGCTGCATATATAATATCTGAGTACCACTTTGTGACTTGAACAATTTCCACTGGTAGCCGCATGATCAACACAAATTGCTTGGAGGTTGATGGTTTCTTTTGGACACAAGACCGATTTGTGGCAAGGCTGGGTCACGTGATTTGGTCTTCTCCAGCCTGGTTCCAGATGATGAATGCTTTCATTTTCAGCGTCTCATGGGCTCCTTCCTTTTGGTAGGACTCATCCCTCCTTCGTTTGAACCATCGTCCTCTACAGCGACGCAAATGGGAATTCTGTCTGGGTCAATCCAAGATCCAACCTCATCCTAAGAACTCTTTGGGAGTGTTTGGCTCTCCAACTTAGACCATGCGACCTCCACGACTCCTCCTTCTACTTCTCTGCTTCATCGCCTGTCCTATTTTCCTAACATTTCTCTCCTTACTGGGCGCCAACCCACGAGATGCAGACTCCTTAGCTGCTGGCTATGGCGCTAGATCTAGTCGCCTTCGTGCCCTCTTTTCCTTCCACGTACCTGCATCACTGTTTCCACCATCTGCCATAATCAGCCTCACGGATGACAACTCCACCTTCTTCCTCGCTAGACCTGCAGCGTTTGGGCCAGCATTGCCAAACGATGGCTTGAGCAGTCAGCTTTGGGTGGGGAGCGGATTTGGGGATGAGAATTTACGCAAAATCGGGTCGGCTCTGGGGGCCGAGGGAGAGCTGGGTTGCTCGGATGTGCCAGGATGGGGCGAGGGTGACAAAAAGCACAATGACGAAGAGCCGTCGAACAAGAACAAGAGGCCAAAGATAGCTACGGCTATCAAGACAGACAAGGATACCATCCCTTCTAAGCTAGGCGGTGGCAAAATAAAGAGAACAGGAGACGACGATACTGGCGAGGATTTGATCTCGAACAGCCCCGAAGAAGATTCTCCGTCTGAGAACGATGGCACAGATGACCACCTTCATCACCCGCTGCCAGAGTCGAACCCTGCCGAAGCTGCGCAGCCTGGACAACCTGCCGATCATGAATCTACTTACGACAAATCCAAGACACCGACACATGCTGATATCCAGTCGTTGCAAGAAAGTGCCGAGATTGCTGGCAAGGTAGTGCTTTTGAGTCGAGGAGGTTGTGGATTTCTCGAGAAGGTCAAATGGGTCCAGCGCCGTGGCGGCGTTGCCCTTATAGTTGGTGACGATGCTCGTGGTGGACCGCTCATCGCCATGTATGCCAGGGGCGACACGTCGAACGTCACCATTCCTGCGCTGTTCACATCACACACAACGGCGCATCTCTTGTCCTCTCTGATCCCTCCAGAGACCTTAGACGATCAAGGCACTGATGGCAGCAAGGATGCCAAGAGCAAAGATCCCTCGCAGCGGGTCAAGCAGGAAAATGGGCCTACCTTCACGACAAAGAGCCAAACCAAGCCAACCGGACGACCTGCCGGTATTTACAAGGATGCCAAGAGCGGCTCCTCGGTGGTTGTGGCCAACAACGTCAATAAGAGCTGGCTACAGACGATCCTATCATTCTTTGGGTTGCAGGGTGGTGCACATTATCCCTGGCATGCCGCAGAAGACAGTCGAAGGCCTCCGAGTAGTGGTAATATGGACTGGGTCTTGCTTGAGGACTGGGACGAAAAAGCTTCCTCTGCGAAATCATCATCTACCCCTCCACGGAAGCCGAATACCAATGGCAAGAATGAAAAGGGATCTTCTGACTCGAAGAACGCGAAATCACCCTCCAAATCTGGAGATGACTTTGTGATTGGTATTCAAGATTGGCGGGATCCGGATGTTCTCATACCAACTGAGAAGCCCGACTCCCACGGAACCAAGCCGGATGGCAGCGTATCAGGGAAAGCTGAACTCAAGCCAGCGCTGGATAGTCAGTCAACTGGCGAGCTGGGGAAGGCGGAGACTCTTAAAGGTGGCAGCATTACACCTGGCAGCGGCGAGTATTATCATACATCTACTGGCCAGAATGGAAAATCAGAAATAGACAGTATGAAGCATACAACATCAGAAGAGTCTCCTAATGGCAGCCGCAATGACGAGTCCAGAAGAGGTTGGTTCAGCCCGTGGATAGGAGACAAGTCATCAGGACGTGCTACACCCGAAGCGCAGAAAGGCCATGCGCGAACACCGAAGGTTACTGGCGAGAAGTCATCCACAAGCTCACCTCCTGCACAGAAAGGGTCTTCGATCAAGAAAGGAGCAACAGTGGAACACGAAGGGCTATGGGTAACCCTCACGCCCGCCACCATGTCGACAAGCCCGCTGTTTGACACGCTGTTAGTTCTGGTCGTAAGTCCATTAGTGACGTTGACGGTTGTCTATGCTCTTCTGCTGCTGCGATCTCGTATCCGACGAAGAAGATGGAGAGCTCCGAAATCGGTGGTGGATCGTTTGCCCGTTCGAATATATCACACCATGTCGAGTTCATCATCCACAACATCATCTCAAATCGCAACACCCACGACTTCCTCGCCAGCATCTCCACTACTTCGGTCGACCTCTCGGACCATTCCATCTCGAAGTCGTCCCCGATCGCAGACGACATCTGGTGTTATACCATCCTTAGAATCTACCAGCGATCGCTCATCCGCTGCATCATCTCCAGCCAAGGAGAAGCCATCGGATGCTGGAGTGTGGAGAAAACGTTACACCGGTCGCCAGGTTGAATGTGTTGTCTGTCTGGAAGAATATATTGACGGTCAAAGTCGCGTTATGAGTCTCCCTTGCGGGCACGAATTCCATGCGGATTGCATGTAGGTGCACTCTATTATGTAATGAGTTTTGTCCACTGACAATGTCTAGTACGCCTTGGCTGGTGCGAAGACGGAGGACTTGCCCTATCTGCAAAGGAGATGTCGTCAGGTCGATGGCACATGGGAATTTGAGCGATCGCCGTCAAGCTGGCGAGAACAGATCGGACGATGTGCAAGCGCGAGCAGCGGAGACGGTCAATGACTCTCCTTCTGCCGCGATACCGATTCCTCGACTGTCTGACGAGGACGATGAAGACATCGAACGAGGCACCGATGCCTCGGTGCCACTCCAGGTAGGCACGAACGGCGCTCGGTTGGGATGGCGAAACTTGACTTCTCTGAGCATTTCTGCCTTGAGCGGTGATACTGCCGTCTGGCGACCAAGCCCAGCTGACAGGAATCGATAATGTGAAGCTGTCAGTCACTTGCATGGATCGTCTGGCGTTGAATCAAGGCTAATTGGATTAGTGGTAAGCTACAGCGGGAGGAGTGCATTGTGACCATTAATGGTGTCGCTCGGTATCTGTTCTGTGTCCGGAGGTGGGCCGAGGCCGAGTAGAGGCAGAGCTGTCCCGCATACTTGAGCGCTTCTTTTTCTCATACATTGATATCCCACTCACTCGAAAAGGAGAATCTCATACTTAGTAACCTAGTAAACCTAGGACGAACACATGACCTCCTGAAGCATTTGACATGAAGTACAGAGCAGAAATGGCTTCCACCACTCCGTCTGCGTAACAAGGCGACCTAATCCCGGACGAATTAAATTGAGCACTCTCTTCCTGTCCCTGCCAAGTACTCCGCATATCCTTACTAAGTAGTATGCCCTGACCCAACCAAGTTTAATCGTCGTTCATTATTTTTAATTTTTTTCCCAGCAAACACTGCATGCAGTTTAGCGTCTATGACGCAGGAATTTGCTCAGATTCCCAGTCGCATGTCATCCATTTGTTGGCCCTGACAGCTTGAAATCCACATTATCTTTTCCTCAACAACTTACCATCTCGAAAGCTAGCTCGTCCGACAAGATGGCCGACAAAGTGAGGGAGGTTGCAGCGGAAGAGGCTGAGCGTCTCAAAGCCCTCACTACGGAAGCTGTAAAGTCACAAGCCTATCTCTATCCTTTCAAGGTATGAGGCAAACATGCCATTGGCTCGCACAGAAGCTGATGCAATCCTCAGGGCATCTACCATTTCGCCGCTCACAGAAGCTTATGGCGTCCGTTGACCTCCAGACTTGCTTCCACATTAACCCTCAGCGTTGGTGTAACGACCTTCATGTTTGTTTTTGCATACCTTCCCCAGGCGGCCATTATGGCCTTTACGAGTGGGCCTCTTGCGGCTATTACAGCTGCCTTGTTGACCCTCAGTGAAAGCTCGACGCTCATCAACCTCATCTCGAGAACGTTCCTTATCCAAGATGCTCTCATTGACACCTTCGATGGCACTTTGGTTTCACGTGAATGCACGGACCTTGTTTCAGATAGCAGACAGGTCAAAGCAGGAAGCGATCCGATGGCCAGACTGGGCAAGCTCGTGACGAAGCCTCTGGCCAAACTTACCCCTTCTGCCATTATCAGATATCTGCTTTACCTGCCCTTGAATTTCATTCCTGTGGTGGGAACAGTCATCTTCGTCCTTCTGCAGGGCAAACGAAATGGACCAGCTGCTCACGCGCGGTACTTCCAGTTGAAGGGTTGGTCCAAGACCCAGCGGGAAGAATTCGTCGAGAAGAACCAAGCAGCCTATACCACGTACGTTCTCAGCTTTGCTAGCAGGTTTGAACTAACGCAAGTACTGTTACAGATTTGGTGTCGCTGCGTTCGTGTTAGAGATGGTCCCATTCGCCAACCTGGCCTTCGCTTTCACCAACGCAGTAGGCGCCGCATTATGGGCTGCAGATTTGGAGAAGTCAAGGAACACAGCACCTGCTCTACGTGAACAGGCAAAGAAAGCGCAATAGGAGACTCCGGACAAGGTCTCACAGGAAAGCGGAGGCGGAAGTATCATGTAGGTACACCGTTTCCTCGGGAAAGCTGCAGACGACCTGTGTAACTATGAACATGAGTGAAGACCACGAGTTTGGTCCTGATTACCTGCAAAACTGAGATCTCTTCTACCTCTACCACGCCCCATAAGTCGTTCTGGCCAATTAGGGCTAGAATTATGGTAGAACAGTGCAGCCACGCTCGGGGTGTGTGCCCATTGCGGATGGAGCAAACATGCCGTAGGGTAGGGCAGCCTCGAGACAGTTCAACTACCTGAAGCGCAATCTTTCTCTTTCCCTTCTCCACACCATGCTCCATTGAAGATAAGGTCATGGGCTATTGATCCAACCTTGCCAAATCACTGAACCCTCGGAGGTGATGGTATAGGTCTTACTATGTGTGACAGGATTTCAGCCTGGCGTTTCATGGAATTGCAGACCTAGTGTCCAGAGTCCAGAGTTTGCCATGCAGGTTGCGGTGTCTGCTGGTGTAGGCAGGGTTGTGCGGTGTTGGCGGTGTTCGCAGTGTTTGTGGTGTTTGAAGTCCTGTGCCTGCGTCTTCTGTTTAACTTCGAGTTCTGGTTCAGATGTGCACTTCCATTCACCACCACAACATTCATTTTGCCATCTTCCCACTCTCTCCACATCGCAATCGCTGTGATCCGCTTACTCTTAGCTCCTTAGAGACGGTATCGTTCTCCATTCTCTTGCGTCCGCTATCAAAACGCGCACCCATCTCAGCCAAAACCTCACTTTACCATATCTTGTCCCTTGACAACAGCAGTAAGCTATTTGGCGAAGCGGCCTTTCTGTCATGCTAATATACCTCTATAGTCTGCCATAGGCTTTTTCAGGATGTTCCGTTTGATGCTGACGGTCATTCTGCTACTGGTCACCTCTGTTGGTGGTAGTCCTCACGTACACAAACACCAACATAAGGACAAAGTGATCGCTCGAGCGACCACTTCAACACCTGATGCTAACTTGTCTTTCTTTCCGGGCCCTGTTACCCCATGCTCTGGTCCTGGTTGTGCTACCGCTGGTCCGCCCTCATCACGTCTATGTCCCGCCAACAACGACACTGCTTGGACTGGTTCTTCAACCGCACAGGATTACACCGTGATCTGTGACATTGACTTTCCAGCAACATACAACATCTACCCCTTTGTTCTTGCGGGCTCATTTGAGGAATGCATGGCCCAGTGCGAGTCATTCAACGCTAAGAGGGACAGAGGTGAAATTCACTGTGAAGGCTTTGTCTTTGCACCAGGACGTGTTCTCTCTTCCGATGACTGCTACCTCAAATCATCGTTGGATCATCCTTCTTCCGCTACAATCTCTCTGATCGGTGCTACGAAAGTGCCATCCCTTTCATCGGTGGCAGTACCACTTGAGAAGTTCTTTAGCACAAGCAAGTAGCTCCCCCCTGAAAAGCGTTGTGTTGCTAACAGTTTTCTAACAGGCACTCCTTCCGCTACACCAGCTGCTTCTTCGTCTTCAAGTGTTTTTTCTCCTCCCAAGTTTGTGCGATCTCAACTTCATGGAGCATCTGTCAATCATCCGACCACTAAATGGGTCTACCATGAGCCTGCAAAGCCCATGAAACTTGAGGATAATCTACTCAAGCCTGGCATCAACGTTGATCTGATCACCAAATTTGATATTGCGAGTGATACTGGGCCTCTCACTTCAGCTTTATCACCTCTAAATGACGAGCTCGTCGATCTCTCCGTCGTTCCACATATTTCCCGAGACGGTGGTAAGGGAGGTGAGCTTAACGGTCACCATCTCTTCATCTTTTGCGATACAGCATCTTTCACCACCACAAATGAGACTCACAAAGGGGATATGGTCGGCTTCACTTCCAGTTCGGTCGCTGTTGATGAGGGCTGGAATGGCATCTCGGGTAACTCCCTCTCCCTTGTTGACGGTATCGGTCAATGGAACGATGACGTCGGACGTATGCGCGGTTTCTCACCAATGACGCATGGAGAAGAGTCCTTCAACATTGTGCTCTCTGGAGGCGGGTATCGTTACGCCGTCTGGCCAACTTCTTCGATCATTTCTCTCAACAAGACTCATGCTATACAATATGCCTCTTTGATATATGATGAAGTCAACATGTTCACTCAAGAGGCCAAATTCACCGCCTTGGGCAATACCCTTCTGACCATATCTGTTGATGAGCATTACGGTCCAACTGCCGAGCGTACTGTCAAGCAGATGTTCAGTCTGGCTGAAGTCAAGTGGGGTACTATTGGTGGCATTCGTTCTTGGGGCTCGGAAGGCATTGGCGGCATGGATGGTAAAGTGTACCTGTTTGGACAGGCACCGCAAGGTGTTCTTGTCGCTCGTACTGACCCTTCCAAAGTTGCGGATAAAGACTCAGTAAGATATTGACCGCCTTCACATGTCTTCCTGCTCTTGGTAACCAATTGCTTTCCTAGTTTGAGTACTGGGCCGGTTCGACCTGGACCTCTGGCCAACTGCCCCCAACCGCAACCTCCTTCCTGATCGAACACCCCATCATGGACTTCGACCTCTTCTACTCCCCCTACCACAAGACCTTCATCATGGTCTACCTCACCCCACACGGAGACAACACTTTCTACTACCGCTCCCTGCAGGCACCGCACCCCATCATCCCCGCCTACACAACCCCAAATGCTGACATCCCCGACTACGACTACGTGTCGGAAATCCTCCTCCACCCCTGGTCCGAAGAGCAGACCCTCTACAAAGCCGCCATCCCGCCATCAGGGAATTTCATCTACGCCGGCGGTGTCCATGCCGGATACTTTGGTGACGAGGACATCACAAAAGGTGGGAAGAAGATGTTGATTTCCTGGACGGAGCAAACCGGTGAGGATGCAAATACTCCCAAGAGCGGGTACGCGCATATGACCGCTGGTGTGGAGATGGAGTAGCTTGACCGTGGCGTGTAGCACGCACACTGACGCCACCGCCCTATCTTCTCTGGTGTTTTGAGGAGTTGAAGTACATATGCCTAGTTAGCTGTTGGTTTGTGCAGCTGTGGGCTTTGGATGATGAAAGTTGGGCGTGAACAGTTCGTCAAAGGCGTGGATTTGTGCTCTGAGCGGGCCCATTCGGTTCTGTTTTTGCTTTTGCTTTTGTCTTCTTCAACTTGCTGCTTGCTGTCTTCATAGGGTAGATGAAGAATTCTACCAAATTGAAAAAAGAAAAGAACGCCGTCCTGACATGCAGTGAATGTGTGAAGACCTGGCTGCCTTCTACCCATCCCATTATCCTCCTACTCATGGTCAACTACTGGTAGTTGTGATCGGATTTCGTGCTATTACAGTAGGAAAACTGAGCGGATCTTTCTCGGTTCCTCCTTGATTGCTTTCCTCTATCCATCCATCCATCCATGTTCATGCATAATCCGCAACCACCCCGTTATCCTTTCTTTAGACACTCCTACTCATGAGAGCCCTCCAAGCCTCCACTTACTTATCATTGTAGTCTATTGCGTGCCCGTTGCAGCTCATTCATCTATCAGGCTTTCACCCTGGCTTTATCGGTGGGGAGGTTGACAGGACATACATCGGCATTATTGTTACGGCAGGCGTATTTTCTATGATAGTGATTGGAAGTGGATGTGAGTTATGGGTAAAGTATGGAAGAGAAGTCCGCAGCAGCAGGAGCACTGTGCTGTGCGTCTGTTCAGCCCATGGAGGGGGATACAGATTTTCGAATAGCGTGCAACGACTGAGAGCTCACGGGTGCAAAGCAGATACGTGTGTGAAGATGAATCAAGGTAACGTCTGACTTCGAGCGGTAGCTTTTATTGGCTTGCTCTTAGTACTATTTTATTCGGTGTGGTAGAACTAGCTTATCTCGAGCTTCATCTTTTTCCTGCGTTGATTGGTTTCGATGCCTGAATGCTCGGTCCCAGGGGCCATGGTGTATCGCATGAAGGCGGCTTCCAAGGCGTTCTTTGCTGATATTCGAGCTGCGGGATCCCTTGCGAGCATATGTCTTAACAAGGTGACTCCCGTGGGTAAACTGCTATCTAGGTGCTCCAAGTGTCCGTCGATGCTTTCAGAGACTTCTGCGCTTACCTCCTCGCCCCACCACCAGGTCTCGAAGCAAAGCAGCTGATAAGCCGTTACGCCAAGGGCGAACATGTCAACCATTTCGTCATATGCTGGTGCGGACTCTCCACCGCGTTTGAGATTCCACACCTCGGGCGCTAAATAGCAGAGAGTACCTTTGTGATGATCCTTGGACGTCTTCTCAAACGTGGCGTGGCCGAAATCGGTGATCATGCCACGTGGAGGTCGATACGAAACGACCATTAAATTGGCCGGCTTGATGTCTCGGTGCATAACGCCGATAGAGTGCAGGTAGGCAACGCCTTGAAGGATCTGCTTGAAAAACAATACCCGGTCGCTCCTGTTTACCCCGGAGGAAATCAGATGGCCAAAGGTATTGGCGGCCAGAGGTGTGTATATCAAATAGACCTCGTCGATGCGACTGTCGATCGGACCGTGTCTGTCATTTCCAATCAAGATGTCATCGACAAGGCGACAGATGTTAGGCTAAGACCCCGATCAGCTTCATCACAACTTTCTCCATGTTTTGAGACTAACGTGTGGATCATGTTTCTGTATGGAGTGCAGGATGTCTATCTCATGCGAGATGTGACTGGCATTCCGCTTGCTCCTATTCATCCTTTTTACTGCAACCAATGCGCCGGTTGTCTGGTGAACTCCAGCCAGCACTGTGCATGTCGATCCGGCTTCGAATGCAGGCTTCAAGAAATAATCATGAAACTCGTAGTCATGACAAGATGGGGGGGAGCCACAGTTTAAGGCCCCACGGTAGGGGGAAGGCCAAGTTTCGCCTTGTATTCAGCAAGTCGGTGCTGGTATGCTGAATGGCCCTGGACCGTATATTGGAACCTGTACCGCAGTCCACCGATGTCTAAAGACGTAACTAGAGCCCCAAGGACACGTTGGCTCCCCTTCAGCTCGTGTTTTCCGTTCACCAGAACTTTTCGACCCTTTTCCGCAATGAGGATGAGAATATCAGTTTTGAAGTCAAAAGTGATCCGAGCATGGCGTTTCCGGACACTTTTTCCGCCTGCAATTGAAAGTGACAGATCTACCCCCGTTTCCTCTTCGGGGTCCCCAGTCCCTCGGCCTATCAGCCAGCCAAGAAGGGGATTGCTGGGCACAATATCAAAGTTGAGCCTGTAATAGCCAGAGTAAAGAAGTGCCCGAACAACTTGTTCGCTGGTATCGGTGTCTGTGTTCGTCTCGGGCGACAGGAGAGAGCGATTCGGGTTGATATGGACAAATCGTCGAGCGTGTGGCATCCGATCATTGTCCAACTGTATCAATTCTGCCACCGCACTGAATGCTACGCGTGCAGCGTCATTATCAGGAATGAGGATCGCAAAATCATTCTCGTGATCATCGGCGATGTTGGTAGGGGTATTGGGTACAGTATCATTTGCTTGAGGTGAGTCAAAGGAATCTGACATTACTCGTCGAAGCCATCAAGCTGAGACAGAGCAGACTCAAGGAGAGAGAGAGATATATATATATACATATAGTCGCAAAGCCCGAATAGCTTACTGCCCAATAGAGTTATGGCGGATAAGCGCATAATGTACGATGTCTGACCTCTTCTCCGGTTGGTCAGTCCGTCTATTGACCTACTGAATTTTTATCTGGTAGGGAGCAGTCATTTCTATAGCGTCAGAGGAGTGCTGATTTTGGCAATTGCAGCTAGTCAGAACGAAGGGTTCAAAGCTGGTAGTGGTAATGCACGAGTGCCGCCGGAAGATGTGGGTTTCATCTGGCGTCAGTTGGTTGATTGATGCCGGACATTATCCCGATGGTGTTTCAAACCCGGGCTTTACGGGTCCTAGTCACAAACTCACACCATGAAAGGCGGAGGTAACTCTTATCTGCATGTGAGTAGTCAAGGCATGAGAAATTGCATATATGAATCAATGCAATCTCCAGCTTGCCGAGCCAAGACCGTTGGCAGTGAAGAAGCTCTGCTTCATCCTAGGCTGGTAGGACTGTAAGTCATGTAGCGGTGAAGTGTGAGACGAGATCTTCACGTTATTTTTGTATACTCTGTACCAAAGGTAACAGTGCCAAGTCTTATCACGTGATAAACCTGTAGTATCTCTGTCTGACTCGACCACCAACGACAAGCAGAGGAATCAGAGCGGTTCTCCTTCTTGACGGTATCGCAGCATGAAATGGACATAATTCCAAACCTTGTCACCCGCCCACCATCGCGTCCCGGTAATCCAAATGCTGTTGAAAAATTGGACAAGCTTGACAGGGCAACTGAAAACATCTTCGCAGCTCAGCTTCAAACCCGTCTACAAGAACTGCAACGCACGCAGTCACCACCAAGACGCTTAACCCCTTTGGCCATATACGCCCGCGCTTACGCCGAAATCGCTTCCGAAGGCCCTCTCTCAGACATAGACAGCCGATCATCTTCCACCACTCCATCTGAATCCAGCCCCAAAGCTCTGATTGCATCATCTCATGGTACCCATGGTACCTCCCTTTCCCCGAGCAGTACCAATACTGCTGAGTGCGATGGTCTCAAAAATAGGAGAGAAGAGCCCGAAAACGCTCAAGAGCCTCTTGTCCCATCAGGTCCTTCAAGTCCGCCAGTCTCAGCAGATGGTCTCAACAACGGAAGACAGCCCGAAAATGCTCAAGGACCTCTTGTACCATCAGATCCCTCAAGTCCACTGGCCTCAGCACATGGTCATCCAACACAGAAGAGAAAGCGGGAGGCAGACGCAGCTCTCGGGACACCAGAAACTGTCAAGCGGCCATGTATGGCCCGGAGACCTGGGTTACTTGAAAGCACAAGACAGATGGTGACCAGTTCCGTAACTCAAACTGCAGCGAGCTAGTCGACTCGCCAGGGACATGGGATAAAACATGAGTTAGGCTGATTGTTTCCGTCAATCATACCCTGCGGTTGCCCACCTTCGTACAAGAGGCTCGTTTGAGTATGATGGAAGGAAAGTCGTATAGACTTGAAAACCGCCTTCCAATGAACCTCTTTAAGCATGAATTAAAAGGTTTGTCAAACCATTTGCTCGTTCCGAATAGTGCGTTCGAGCTTCATTCAAACTAATCCGTTGATCTAGGGACAGAGCCTTGATCGAACAGCTCGACTGCTTTTGACTAGGAAACTTGGTGTTCACAACTGTGCCCGTGGAAGGCAAACGCTCCCTACCGCAGCACACATTCCGAGGTTTCGACTTTACCACTCACGTTGAATAGTGCATGGCGTGGGACAGTAACAGACAATAGGCATTATGCTCAAGTATGCCGACTCCGCTTTCAATTTTACACCGCTCTTCCAATACTGTCTACTCACATGGCATTGATTTTCAATGACTGGACTAGACAGTTACATCGCCAGTTCCGTGCCCTGATTCTTAGCAACACTCCAGCGATTCTTTGCACGGACCAATCATGAATAACTTTGAATATGGGCTACTTTGATCTCACGGTTGGCCGTTTCTGGACTACTGGCACAACCAAAGAACGTTTTGCTGTGTGCGTTCGCGGTTCACTGCAACAGGTTCATAGCAGACGAAGCCAATCAAAGGTTGCAGGCAGCCTTCATTCCTACAATGTCACGGCAGGCTTGCAACAAGTTCTACTTGTACTTCGCCCACAAGGAGAGGCCAAAGCTGACTGCGGTTTGAGTGGCGAATTGTATTGGATTCTATGCTTACCCTCCGCCATAATTGTTCCACGGGGACAGATGGCTCGGTAGCATACGAATCATTGCAGTATCTTTCCGTAGCTGAGAACTATGATTTCACAAGCCGCCTATATAATACTATATTCTTATCAGGAGATGCAGTTGAGTCTCCTCTTCTCGCAAAACGGATACCACCTTTATCCCAAAATGTGATCAACGACTTTTGCTTGGTATCTTCTGATGCGGACTCGACATGCTGATGAAGGTTTGTCGTGTGGCTGAGTCAAGGTAGTTCCAGATTTGTATAGTTAAAGAGAAATGCCGCTCCTATCTTATTAGTCACATGTGAACTATTGGAGCCCTAAGGATCGACTTACAGTACTAGTTTAAAAGTATCCGACCAACCCCACTTTCGCACCCCACCAACGTTTCTCACCTCCTTCATACAAATTACTATAGCAACTCTCAGAATTTACGGATTTTGCTGAAAAATAGCTCAAACTGTGTGCTAATACCTAGGGAATGAAGCTAACCAATTTTCCCGAATAGGAAGTCAGATATCAGTATCTGGTGTACCAACCCTTTGCTGATATCACTGTATTAATGCGAGTATCCATGCTCTTAATCAAATTGCGTACAACTTCTTCGCCAATTGAGTCCCATGCATCATGAATAGCGCTAAACAAACGTTGATAGTCCTGTTCCGATTTGCCCATATTAATTAGCTCTGGGTAATGCTTGTTAATCCATTGCTTGAGTTGCGCCCAGAGGTGTTCAATTGGGTTGAGATCAGGACTATAGGCCGGCCATTCCATCACTTCTATTCCCTCCTCTTCAAACCAATTAATAATCTTTTTAGCAGTATGAATTCGGGCGTTATCCTGCATGAATTTGCGACCTGGCTCATAGATCCGAGGGATCTGCTCATGGAGAACAGTTAGATATGAGTTGGCGGTATATCCAGATTTCTCTGAATCAGGATCACGCTCCAAAAGAACGATATCCAAACGACCTTCTCTATAAATAGCACCCTATATTATAACACTGATGTCTTTGCCTTTCTTATAGGGATCAATCATATCCTTCTCCTAGCGTTGTTGTGGCGTACGAAAGACCCAATTCCGCCGTGCCCCAGAGCCTCTTTCTAGCGAACATTCATCGCTAAATATTATCTTGCTCCATTCATTCCACGTCCAATCTTTTCGTTTTAAATACCAAGCTAGGCGTTTAGCAGCCAATTGAGGAGTTAATAGAGGTCTCTTTTTGCTGATCCAATTGGTAATACCCTCATTTTTGAGTGTTTGATAAAGGGTAGATCGAGAAACCTCCACCCCAAGTTCAAGGGCTAATGCGTGATAGGTAATCTTTGGATTGGTTCGTACAATACGTAGAATATTGCGTTTTTGAACGCGATTCAAGGCAGGGGGTCGTCCTTTTCGAGGCAAGCTTTTGCCGTTATGGCGTAGTGGATTTTGTACAAGATTATCGAAAACAGTGGTTTTGCTGCAATGCAAGTTCTCGCTTATTTGCTGATTTGTCAGCCCTTGAGCTTTGTACGCTGAAATTTGACCCCGTTGGTATGGAGATAACTCCTTTCCATAGCTTCTGTTAATTTCTAGAGGCGCCAAAGCCCTGCGTTGATTCATGGTTGTTGTTGGCAAAAGGAGTAGAAAAACGCGTGTGTAAAAAAAACGCGGTTTTGGTCGGATACTTTTCGGCGTAACTGTAGCTTCTAACGAAAGTAATAATAACTATTAGGCCTGTGCTGCTATTAAGATAGTTGGTCGGATACTTTTCGGCGTAACTGTATTAGCTTTGTCAAGCCAGGACTCAGGCGCCGACCGGGAAAATACTTCCCCACACAAGTTAATAGAAGTAGGCAGCGAGATACCCCGAGTTTGTCGACTTATTTTCAGAGACAAAACTCGCGAGAAAGGGAGGGCCTTGAAGCTAACCAAACATGGTTTAAAAGGAGAATTTCTGGGATTCAGGCTTAAATAACTGACCTTCAGTCATGGCTTAGGTACTCATATTTCTACTATCTGCCCTCATACGATACACTACCCGGCGGTCAATCAAAAAGTCGCGCTGGTCCGTCTCTTAGACCTACTTCGTATCCTTCCTCAGCACTATCATGGCGTCATCACCAAAGAAAGATTGTGGTGTCCTTGGATGTACCGGCTCTGTTGGTCAGCGATTCATACTTCTGCTTGCAGATCACCCTACGCTTAAACTACATGCCATCGGGGCCTCGTCAAGATCAGCAGGCAAGAAGTACAAAGATGCCGTCAGATGGAAACAGATCAAGCCCATGTCAAGCACGCTTGCCGAACTCGAAGTTCGAGAATGTAAGGCGAGCCAATTTCAGGATTGTGACTTAGTGTTTTCGGGCTTAGACAGTGATGTTGCTGGAGATATAGGTACGTTCTTCATGAATTGTCTACATTGCAACGTCTGATCATGACATACAGAAATGGAATTTGTGAAAGCAGAAATCCCCGTCTTCTCTAATGCTAAGAACTACAGGCGGCATCCCCTGGTACCATTGGTTGTTCCCACAGTGAATGTGCAACATCTAAACTTAATCCCCCACCAAAGACAACAATTCGGCTTAAAGAAAGGGTTTCTCGTCTGCAACTCGAATTGTGCGGTGATAGGCGTGGTCATTCCCTTTGCTGCACTCCAAGCTAAATTTGGTCTTGTCGAGGATGTCGAGGTCTTCACAGAGCAGGCTGTGTCTGGCGCTGGTTATCCAGGGGTTTCAAGCATGGACATTTTCGACAACGTCGTTCCTTACATAGCTGGTGAGGAAGACAAACTTGAGACCGAAGCGCAGAAGATCCTTGGCTCGATCAACAAAGATGGTACCGGATTTGACGAGCAATCCGGACTCACAGTGGGAGCAACATGTACTCGGGTGGGCGTGACAGACGGCCACATGGCATATGTGTCGTTACGATTCGTAAATAGACCACCGCCTAGTGCTGATCAGGTCAAAGCTGCCTTGAGAGAATACGTGGCCGAGGCACAGAAGTTGGGCTGTCCTTCGGCTCCAGAACAGGCGATTGTGGTCTTCGAAGAACCCGATAGGCCGCAACCACGACTGGACCGTGATATCTCAGGAGGCTATGCTGTCAGTGTTGGAAGGGTTCGTGAAGGTGCCAAAGGAGGTCACTTTGATATTAGGTTTGCGGCCCTCAGCCATAATACTGTCATTGGCGCGGCCGGGTCCTCTATCTTGAATTCAGAGGCTGCCATTTTGAAAGGCTTCATATAGATATCGACTATACGAAAACGAAGCGTGTATTTGAGCAGCTCTTGGGCATGCAACCTTGCCCTAAAGCCTTGCCCTACTTTCCAATTTGAATTTGTGTGATTGCCAAGCCCAAATGCCAAGATTACACGATCGAGCCACCGAAATTTCAAAGCAGTATCTCGACATTGGGATTGAGCGTAACAATCTTCCTTACGCGCAGACTCCACAAGCAAAATGGCTCGTGGTCCAAAGAAACATCAGAAGCGCCTCAGCGCACCTTCACACTGGCTGCTTGACAAACTCTCCGGTGCCTACGCTCCTCGTCCTTCCCAAGGTCCACACAAGCTGCGCGACTGTCTACCACTTATCGTCTTCATACGAAACCGCCTCAAGTATGCCCTCAACGGTCGAGAGACCAAAGCTATCCTTATGCAACGTCTTGTCAAAGTCGACGGCAAAGTTCGAACCGACACCACATACCCGGCTGGCTTCATGGACGTGATCACAATCGAAAAGACTGGCGAGCACTTCCGACTTGTCTACGATACAAAGGGCCGTTTCACTGTTCACCGTATCGAGGCTGCAGAGGCAGAATACAAGCTTGGAAAGGTCAAGAGAGTTCAGCTGGGCAAAGGAGGAATCCCATTCTTGGTTACGCATGATGCTCGCACGTAAGTTGCGCTGTTCATCAATCAGACGTTGGACCAATGTTTGGTTGGAAATAATACTATGACAAGAATACTGATGTTTTGGGTCTATCTAGAATTCGATACCCAGATCCGGTCATCAAGGTCAACGATACCGTCAAGATCGACCTCGCTACGGGAAAGATCACCGATTTCATTAAATTCGACACTGGTACCATTGCAATGGTCACGGGTGGTCGTAACATGGGTCGTGTTGGTGTTGTCACGCATCGGGAACGTCATGATGGAGGGTTCAACATTGTTCACATCAAAGACGCAATAGACAACTCTTTCGCAACTCGAGAAAGCAACGTTTTCATCATTGGCCAGGAGAAGCCATGGATTAGTCTACCGAAGGGCAAGGGTGTAAAAGTGGGTTTCTTGTACTTGTGCAATTTCTTCGAATTGCCTGCTTACGAAGTGACAGTTATCTATCGCCGAGGAACGCGATCGCCGCCGTGCTCACACCATCGCAGGGAATTAAGAAGCTTGGAGGAAGAGGGAGAAGTGTCGTGGCGGGGCCTTGAGCTGACTGCTAAAGCATGGAGACGTGATTCGGCCAAACTAGACCGAATGCAATAGCTGCACCTGAAGTTAGCCACAGAGAACCCGACTTTGTACAAGCGAGTGTCCTTGGGCTTCCTGTTTTCTTCCGTCCCTTATGTCTGCCGAAGCCTCACGGCTCAACTAGATCAAGCCAAGAATGAATTTGAGCTCGGATTGACATTATTTGCCGTCTTCTCTTTCCTTTTGGTCCAAAGCTCTTTCTAAACACGTTGTCCTTGATTGTGTCTTTTGGACCCAGTTCCTTTGGAAGCAGTGCCCAGGCCGGCCAAGTGAAGCCCTTCAATGTGATACAAGAATTGACAAACTCCTTCATTCGTTGAAAGAGACTATGAGTCATGCAACAAATCAGTCTTCCCAGATCTCGCTAATGCGATTGAATCTCCAAATACTGGCTCATAGCCTTTGACCAGACAGGTGAGCCCATGTTCAAAAAGCACAAAAGGCAGCCCGAAAAGTCCCCCTCGACTTTGAGGTCGCAATCTACGAGTGTGGAGGGCACCAATGCGCTTCCCAGCCTATATATGAGAAACCCACCTCTTCAAGGCTTATCTGACTTCGTCGAGACGGCGCAGAGGATGAAACTGAGTGTGGTCTGATCCGTTGGCTATCCACCAGGTTCTTAACAAAAAGATGTTGAAGCTCCGAACAACCAAATCTACAATACTTCTTCATCTTTGAGCCTCTCTACTCAGAAGGGCTAGCTCCGACTGAATCTGGCCTACCGCGTCATCTGAAACGTCCGAGTGATGATGTTGTTCATTGGACTAGCGTCTAGATCACTTATGGGGACGGGTCAGCCCATTTTGCCTTATGACATCTACTTTCAAAAATCGTCCCTAAACTTTGCATTTGCTCTTTTCCCCAGCCTTCCTATTCCTTATTTGCACTCTAAGTCCTTCTGTCTGTGTCCAGTTCACTATTTTCTTCCATGTGGCTACAAAACACTAATTCCCGTCATTCCTACCAGTAGCCACTTGCGCACATCCAAGGCCACTCCATCCATGATAATGAGGGGCGAGGTGACTCTCGATAGGTTCAATGAGGTGCTGAATGCTGTGTAATCCAGCGGGATATGCTGTCACGTCCTGAGTTGCTCAACATGCGAGTTTATCAAATACAGTATGCAGTGTTCTGCTGTGGTACCAGTATGGATCCGTCATTGCGGATGCACTGCTCAGGTGATACGCAAAGTATTCTTGGTCAGACCTAGTCGAAGACCCAGTACAGCTAATTTGGACATGGTGTAAGTGTCACATGAAGAGATCACAGCTGTTCAGGCTACTTTCTTTTTGTCATGCTTAAAGAAATGATTGAAGGAACAGTAGCAATTGCTCGAGTCTGAGAGATCCTTCTGATTGTGGCAAATGGATTTGACCTCACACAAGCCAGAATGCCGTTTGCATCGCCCGGTACCACAAGCTTTTCAATATCGTTCATGGAATTTCATGTCGTTCAGGATGTTTGGCTTGCCTCAGTTCTCAGCCATACTATGTGGCTTGGACGATGACTAAGTCGATACTTTCTTGATTAGTCAGCAGAAGATTCAATGTTTAAATTGAAGTCTGGATGTTTCTAGCAAACCACACTGCAATTGCTCCCTTTACATTCACCCCTACACAGGCTGCTTTTGCATTGAAGTATGGTTCCTGAACTACAATTATATCTCTTGTCACTTCCTGCATTGCACTTCTACATACATTACCTGCTATGGCACTTCATAAACTAGACTGCGACCTACCAGCCACATCGTTACCGGCTCAATGGGAATCTACCTGAACAGGACAATCTGAAAGAATGAATGATGATCCTGCCATTGAGGATTTTCCAAGATCATGCTTTTGTGCATGCTTGAACTTAGCGGCCGAATGCTGAAGGCTTTATAAGCCGGCTGGACTGCATTCAGCCCTGAATGCTTTGGACGCCTTTCAAGATGCCTTTAGCCTTTCAAATTGAATCACGGCAAGCTTTTCCGGAAACTTCCTTGGTCTTTAAGCTTGCGTTAGAGCCTCTACATCCACTATTTAGTTCTTTATGTGGACCATATTGGCATTACCTTTTTGCCATGCATTCAGTCACTATTCTCCGAACCAAGGCTTTTCTGTATGCCTGCTAATTGCACCACATGTCACGTGGAGACTAGCGTTTTGGGAGTGTACCTTGTTCACGTGGGGATTTGTGAGTAGTTATGCGGATCTGCTTTTGTCCTTTATCCCTGTAAGGTACTTCTCAGCTTGGTACTAATGCGTCAAGCGATCTGGACTCCTGTATTGCTACGAAATACAAATACCCTTCCCAATCTCTTTCTGTGCAATGGCTATTATGAATGTCATCCCAGGTCTAGTTACTACCCCTTTTCAAATCAAATGTCTCTCATTCCTAGTCTACACTCTAATTCCAGTTTACTATGCCTCATCCTTCTCTGCGGCTTTCGGCTGCTCGGGGTCCAATCGTTTGATGTTAGAGATGCCAAAAGTGTGACATTCAAAGCTTGCAACCTGTCTTGGGTCCTTGAATCGTTTGGATAACGTTCTGCCCTGGAAAGACTCTTTAGTCAAAAGATGTCCGCGCGTGGTGTGAACAGCCTAAACATTCCGTGCTGCGAACAGATTCTTCAAGGACCATCCCATCCTAACGTCTTCTAGTTGTTCGGGGGAGTGAGGTACCCGTCAAATGGTCAATTGAAATTGGTTGAAAAGGCAGAAGTCCTCAGATGAATGATTGCTCTGAATGCATGCAGCTGCTGTAAAGACACTACAATGCAGATGCCACGATCCGAGAGATGCAGAGAAAGAATAAACATGGTGGTTTTAAGTGATTCAAGCAAGAAATGCAGGGAGAGACTTGTTTCCATCTCTACAAGATTGGACAGTGTATAACCCTGTGTCCGCCAAAGCGAATTTAACCATCTGCCACGTGATGGTGCATCTGTCTTCCTCATCCGAGAGATTATCAATTCTGCGCACGGCGATGAATGCCAAATATGGTTCACATCCATCCTACGGCTTCCTAATCTATGGCCATGGACCATCTTTGACCGATCCGGCTAGTCAGCCATCAAAAGTGTCTCCATATCTTTCAAACAAGATGTTTACCAAAAGAGGAAATAGCTTGTGAGAGGGAACACATTGTGCGGTTGGTATCGGTCACACATTCCCGCTTGTGCCGCAATGTCTTCACGCTCGATCTCCAGTCAGCCAGGATCTTCTGCAATCTCACTATCCACAACATCATCCACCTTTACGCATAGTACAAGAGCTTCATATAAATATTACGATTCCCAGCAAGCACGGGCTTTCCGAACCTGCTAGAGAAGCACTGGTCTTGTTGACATCCAATGAAGCCGATTTTGACCGTCTCTGCCAATAGCAAGAATAAGTCAAGCCGAAAGATCAGCATCAAGATGGTGAGCGCTGTTCATGGCTTACATCAAACCATCGCTAACATGGTATTTAGGCCACAGACAATCCGCCGACCTCCTTGCCAGCCCAAACCACAAGGCGTTCTGACCGAGAACGATCAGAGGTCAGCCTAAGTGGTGGAGGTAATCCTTGGGTTGTACACTTCGCAAGCAAAGAAGACCTATCGGATGCCATCACCTTCAGACGGGGTGTTGACAGTTCTGAGTTTCCTGGCACATCTCGTCACACTGTTAGCATCTTTGGTATTGATGGCAATATCAAATTCCGAGACTCGAGAAGCCTTGTTGTGAGACGTTCCGACCGACAAGGCAGAGTCAGGGACCTTGATATAACAGTCTGGGCAGCTGTTGAGATCCAGCGTCAAGAATTCGATGTCGTGCGTCATGAAGAGATTGGCAATGACTGGATCACATTGCTGAAGCTCAAGCCTGGAAAGAGGTTCTTTGTGACAATGAGCCAGATGACGGGGCCACCGTCTACAAATCCAAACCGCATCCGCCATGATATGCTTCAACTCTGGAACAGGCAGGGGGACATACACAGGATGCCATTTATGGCCATCATGGTGCGAAACCACAAGACGTACACGCCCTGGGCTCTTGCCCTGCAGAAAGAGGTGCTTGGTCCGTTGGTGTCGTCTGCAGCCACTGGCAATCCGGAAGATATGCCACTCATTGAGTTTTCTGACGACGAAGATTCTGCTGGTGAGGGTCCTTCCGGCGAAGGTGCTCCTGAGGGTGCTACTGAGGGTGCTCTTGAGGGTGCTCCTGAGAATGCTCCTTCAACCATTACTCGTCCTATGGTTGATTCTTCAGATGACCTCCCTGCCGCCGAAGCACCTGACGACAAGCAGGCTTCTGCCGATCTGCCTACCTACGACTCACCCTCTGACAATGGACCTTCAGAAGAGTCGAAGCAAGAAGAGTCCTCAGACCCATTTGGTGGCCTCTGGCAACATGCGATGAATCTAGGAAAGTCTGCCAAGTGCAAAGAGAAGGAGTGAAAGGATGGATGCGAGTGAAGGAACGGCGTCTACCAAAGGCCATTGATTTTGATAACCCGATGTCTGATGTTTCGAAAAGGCAATCATCACAGGGTGTCTCTTTGGTGTAGGAGTCAGCAACAAGCCGGGTCTAAGGCTCTTCTTACAAGGCCTTTGATGTTACAGTTGCGAACATGAGAAGACCATGAATCCGCCTTGTCTGCGAAATGTCGTGTCTCTCATCGCATCCAAGCGCCCCTTTTGACATTCCAAACTTCCCCTTGTCCTAATTTTCAGCTCATTTTCCATGCAGATTGAATGGCATTTCTTGTTGTGGCTCACCCGTGCATGGGTGCGTTCCAATATGGCACCTGTTCATTCTTTCAGAGTCGACTTCCTATCTAACCCATCGGCCAAGCCCCTTCTCCACATTATCTCACCTTGCAGCCAGTTTCTTCCTTGTACAAGTATCTCCTCTTTATTCGAAACGGGTAAGCAAGCTGACCCAACCCACTGCAATCACTCTAGCATATCGATATCTCGTTCTCCCTTCCTTACATCACGATACACATGCTACACGGCCGGCTTTATCCAAACAGCACACTTAAACCTCCCTACAGAGCCAGAGGAAAAAAAGTTTTTAAAGACCCTAAGCTCCCCCTCCCAACAGATGAGATACAATCAATACCTCCAGCACCCAAACTCTCTCAAAGACCAATTAGACTTCCGCTTCCCCCCTCAAACTCCCCCCTCTCCCTCCATTAGCACTGATAATTATTCCCGCCTCGATCCCCCCTCTCCGCTCCCATTTCCTTCCCTACTCTCCCCTTCCCTTCCCCTCCTCCCCCCTATATTTCAACCATACCACTTCGTAATTACCCATGGCGCGGCTCGACCAACTCTAGATTCTCTACCATACTATCTACTTCCTCATCTTCCTCCGCTCCTCCGCGCCTCTGCTTCTTTTATGCTGGATCGGATCTGGCGCGCCTGAATTTTTGGAAGGGGTAAGCGGGGGATAGTTTTTTTCTCCCGAAGGAGACCAATAGCCAGCTGATACCATCAACCCGTTTTGCTTTTTCTTGGGGGTGTGCTTCGTTTGGATCATGCCGGAAGGGAAGGTGGGAGGGATGTGCATCTTTAGCATATGAGCTGTCGTTTTGGGGTGTTGGGGGTTTACACTAAAAGGGGGCGGATATGGGTAAGGTGGGTTGAAGATGAATAAAGGGGATAACGTCACGGTGGCGAGCAGGTGGGTTGGTGGGTGGGTTCGTGTACAGAGTATTGTATTTTCAAGAGGGCCATGCTAGATGCTATGGCAGGCGCCAAGTCAGAGGGAGGTGAAGCAGATTCTCTCATCTCTTAATTCGAGACATCCTTCTTGGCCTTCTCGGCCAGCTTCTTGGCCTCCTCCGCCTTCCTCGACAGGACCTGCTGAACTTCCTCGGTGGCCTCCTTGAGCAGCTTCTCCGCCTCCTTGCCGTGTTTCTGCGCTCCCTCCTGCAACTGCGACAGGCTGGACCAGATGGAACCACCGGAGGGGATCATCTGGAAGTATTTCTCCAAGCTGCCACCCATGCCTGACGATGATGAACTGCTGCTGGCTTTGCTGACCGTCTCTTGCACGTACTTTTCGAGGTCTTGGGTGCTGCCGGATGAGAAGGCGTCTTTGATCTTCGAGGCCAATTCCATGGCGTTCCCTTGCATCAGCTTGGTCTTGTTCGACTCTATCATTTCCTTGATCTGCGGGTTCTTGTCCAAATAGGGCTTGGCTTGCTCCATGGCTTTCTGCCACGCCTGATCGCCGATCTGTTGCACCTTTTCCGTGGTCTCCTGGACGATGCCCCTGATGCGATTGAGCGTGTCGAAGCTGAATCCTCCCTTCAACGCATCCTGGATCTTACTCCACGTCTCATCCACCTGTTTCTTGGCCTCTGGGCCATAATTGTCTGCCATTGACTTCAACCGATCAAACTCGCCACCGAATCGATCGCGCAGCTGCGGGTGGTTGTTCAGAATATCGCCTCCGGCATCCTTGGCTAGCTCCCCAATCCGGCCGAGATGCTTCTGCAGGATATGCCAGGCATTCGCCACACTGCTCGCACTGAAAGGTTTGTTTCCCAGTTCCTTCAGCTCTTCATACGCCTCCATTACTACCTTGTCTACTTCCTCCCTGTGCTTGGCATGTATGGTGTCTAGGTCGTTGAAGGCGCTATCCACATAACCCTTCGCACCGGGAATGATCGATGCATAACTCAACGCCGTCTCTCTTAGCCACTGGATGGCTTCATTGGGCGCAGGAGCAGACTCTTTTGTCTTTCTTAGGGTTTGATCGAAGTAGGCTTTGGTTTGGCTGGCGGTTTGAACGACGGTCTTGGCGCCGGAGAAGTGGTACCACGTGTAGGCGGCGAGGAAGACGAGGCTTCCACCAACCGCGCCGCCGAGAATGGCAGCCTGGTTGGTGTTGGTGGGTTTGCTGGGGCTGGTAGGTGACGAGGTTGACTGAAAGCGTATGTTACGGGTAGGAAGGCGGGTGCGAGACAGTCGTGAAGCGCGGACAGCGCTGGATCGTAGACCGATCATGCTGGAGGTTGGTGATGGTAGTGATGGTGGTGGTGGTAGTAGTTGGGGGAGGAGAGGTGACAAGTAAGCGAAATAAGGTGAAGGTCACTTCAGTCTTATTACGTATCGACTTTACCTCTAGGCTATCAGCAATAGCAATTCCGACGGTTTGATAGCACTCTTTCTGTACCAAATCCTTCAAGTTGAATATTATGGAAAACTTTAGGTGGTGGGAGAAAATGAGCCGGCACAGCGATGCGGAAGCTGGTGTTCAATTCGGAGCTTCCACGTTCATGCAAGGGCCAAGAGTGGTTGATGCAAGAGACGTCATTGCCACTTAAGTAGCAGGGAGCTGTACGGAGTATGACCAGTGTGAGCTGCGTCATGATGACTCATCCCGCAGCAGCGGACCGCGGTTCTTGTTCCTGAATGCCAAGACATATGACCTTCGCTGGGCAAAGAAAGAGAACAGACAGCGAAATATAGTAGACTCAGCATTGGAAGTGCATGACGCAGTAGAAGATACAAGTACGGGTGGCAATACTGGACCATATTGCGAAAGACAAGGGGCCTGGCACTCACTCTTGCATCTCAGTCCAGTGACATTGAGATCTCCTTGGTCAATGGAAAAAAGGCTTATTACCCAATGCTTCAAGTTGCATTCAGGTCAATTCTTCGCTTCGACTCAACCTGCACGAAGGGTATTCGGATTACTTTGGACAGAGATTGCAGTCTTCGACCGTAATTCAACATGAATGTGCCATTCAGACATCTCCAAACCGCATCAAAATCTCTCTCACAAGCAGCACAAGAGGCGCTCTCGTCTCACTCCGATATTCCGCCCAAGGTCTCTTACACTCCTGGCCCAGGTCCCAATGAACCATGTGCGGAAAATGTTACCATGTTCCAAGCCTTCGAGTGGAATTGCCCTAAGGACCAAAAGCACTGGACACGCCTTGCTACTGCAATGCCCTCACTAAAAGCAATCGGTATTGACAACATGTGGATTCCTCCCGGCTGCAAAGGTGGCTGGCATGGCAGTAATGGCTACGATATTTATGATTTATACGACCTCGGAGAGTTTGAGCAGAAGGATTCGAGAGGCACGAAATGGGGTACCAAGGACGAGCTGGACGACATGATGGCTGTGGCCAGGAAATTGGGCGTTGGGATATATTGGGACGCTGTATTGAACCACAAGGCCGCCGCCGACTTCTCAGAGCCCTGCTATGCTGTGAAAGTTGATCCGAAAGGTATGGAAGTGATATTCGGCTTTCAGCTTTCCAACTTTGAAGCTTGTCAATTATCTATTCGTCCCTTCCAACGACCTGCTACATTGGCTAACTCGTCCTTGCCAGACCGCACCAAAGAATTAGGCAAGCCGACCGAGATCGAAGCCTGGACGGGCTTCGACTTCGCCGGCCGAAAAGGTCGATATAGCCCTATGAAATATCGATGGCATCATTTCACGGGTACCGATTATGATCATAGGACCCAAACGAACGGTGTCTTCAAATTTCTGGGCAGGGGCAAGAAAGATTGGGCGAAGGATGTTGATGACGAACTAGGTAACTACGATTACTTGTGAGGGCCTATAGCTATTACCAGACTATGGAAGGGAGGCTGATCCGTCTTCCAGAATGTTTGCCGACATCGACCATTCCAACCCGGAAGTTCGGGAAGATGTTTTTCGTTGGGGTGAGTGGATTGGACAGGAAGTTGGAATATCCGGCATCCGGTTTGATGCCGTGAAGCACTACTCTGAGGACTTTCTAAGAGATTTCGTTCGTCACCTTGATCGGACAGTAGGCAATAAGTGGTTTCTGGTTGGCGAGTATTGGCGAGACGACCTTGAGGTGCTCGCCGGATATATCAAGCGCATGGGCTATCGTCTATCGCTATTCGATGTCCCACTTGTCAGCAACCTTGCACGTATCTCAATGGCACGAAAGCCTGATCTACGATTGGTCTTCAAGGACACTTTGGCGTTGCACCATCCACTGAATGCAGTTACATTTGTGCAAAATCATGATACGGTCAGTGTGCTACCTTATAAGCCTCGGTTCTCATCCACTAACAAACCCCAGCAAGAACGCGGATCACTCGAGGTTTGCAAGCCCGATCCATTCTAAAAGCCTTCCTTCCTTCCTCGCAAGAACACTCTAACACCAATCCCAACTAGACCATCGTAACACCCGACTTCATGGCCCACGCCCACGCCCTAATCCTTCTCCGCCTCTCTCCCGCCTACCCCTGCATCTTCTATGGTGATCTCTACGGCATTCTCGGCTCGAGATCCCGTCCACCAGCCTGCGGGGGGCAACTTCCCAAGATGATCCTCGCCAGGAAGTTGTACGCATACGGGGGAATGAATGAGTATCTCGATGAGAAGGAATGTATCGGTATGCTTCTGCTCCATTCCCTCTGCCCCTTCGTCGGAGGAACGGAGTACTCATCTCGATGGGTGAAACAGGATGGACCCGTCTCGGCCATCCCTCCAAATCCAACGGCGCCGGTCTAGCCGTGCTCCTCAACTCGTCACGCGCATCCTACGGCCACAAACGAATGAACGTCGGCAAGCACCATGCCGGTGAGACGTGGACCGATATCATGAGCTGGGCCTGGGGCGAAGTCTGCATCGACCAAGAGGGATGGGGTACGTTCCCGGTAGGGCCCAGGAGCGTGGGTGTATGGGTGAACGCGAGATCAGAGGGGAGAAGGGGCCTCGATCATCTGGTTTTGTGAGTTCATCCTTTCTCCTGCCTGTCTCTCCATTGTGTAACCTTCCAGACGGAAAATGCGGTGCTGATATATTGTGTGTTGCAGCGATGACGATATCTACAAACAGGCCGCTTGCGTGACTTCCTAACCCCTCAGCTCCGACGGGCAGGATTGCACAATCGACGCACTTACTATATATTCATGCCACATTGCAGACACCGAGGTACCCACACATGAGCCCAGCTGGAGCCAGAGGTAGATGGGAATCAGATGCACTCGAAAGGGGAAGAACGGACAAGTAGAAAACAAGCCCCTTCAAAGCTCCAGAGCCCGAGGCCCATAGACAGAATTGGTGGCCGTCTGGGCAAAATCAAAGGCGTCATAATGATTGGGCTGTTCTCGGCCGACTCTTGCGTCTAGATGGTCCCATTTCTTGTGACAGGTATGCAGGAGCCAAGACGGCCACCAATTATGTCTATGGGCCTCGACCCCGGAGCCCCGGAGACCACAGCTACAGCATACATGTAACTCGTGCAATCCCCACGCAAGCCGAGCCAGATTGAAGCAGACAGACTGACAGACAGGCATATACGGAGTCGTGCCCCAAAAGCTAGTCAAACTACGCTAATATTAAAGTATAAGCTAGTAGCTTTAGTATAGGCTAAGCTCTTTGGCCTAAGGCCTGCAACAGGCGATTTGTGGACATGCTTGGAGGGGGCTTTAGCACTAGGACACCACAACATAAGGTCCTGAATAACTAAGAAGAGTCCTAAAGAGCTATCTACTCAGGCTAGTCAGCACTAGCCAGTCTCAGTAGGGCCTCAATATTAGCGTAGCTTGACTTGCTTTTTGGGGGCACGACTCCGTAGACAATGAGACCAAAAAGCTAACCACCCCCTGTAGATCATGATAGATATTTAGTATCAAACCACATCACGCCATCTGGTGCATCCACTCATCCATCCCTTCACTCATCCCCAAATAACAATATTAGGGGAAAAAAATTTAAATAAAATTGGGCGAAAACTGATGCAGGTGGATGATCTGAATTATCTAAACTCTGCAGATTTCTATCTACTACGTAGTAAGGAAGGGGCCAGGCTAATCTACTGTTAGGGCGCGCGGGCGGTCACGTGACGCCAAGACAAAGATTTTGTTCGTGTACAGCCAATTTCCAACAGAAAACTACCCCATTCAAAGACTTTAATCAGTGCAGCCAACGAACTCCCCACCACGATCGATCAATCGATCAATCAATAGCACGACATAATAACAACGCCAATAGCGAAACGTGGTGGGGACTTAACTAGTCAAGAATAGAATAGAATAGAATAGAATAGAATTGAATAGAATAGAATAGAATAGAATAGAATAGAATAGAATAGAAATTGTACAAGCACTCTGTATGTGTATTGTGTATATATGTGTTGGTGAGAGAGAGGTGGGGGGGGGTTTTCTATCTATCTACAATCCCTCTTTTCCCCTCGTCCTCGTCCTCCTCCTGCATTCTTTCATTCTTTCATCCATACCCCGTTCCATCAAGAATCCATCCATTTTATCCACATCCATATCCAGATCCAGATCCATTAATATCCCCTCCCCCCCGGTGCGGGTGATGTATATACGTGTGTATGTATGAGTGAGTGACTCGAAACCCAGAGAAGGGGGGGTGCGAGGTGATTTTCCCGTGTTCGGGGTGATAGATGATGTGTCATGAACGCCCAAACAGAACCGTTCCACTCATCCCATCCCGTCCCATCCGACCGGCGGAGTGGATGTCATGTCGTGCCGTGTCGTGCCGTGTCGTGTCGTGCCGTGTCGTGTCGTGCCGTGTCGTGTCGTGTCGTGTCG